AAAATGCGGCGGTAAGAGAGGTAAACAGACAACCAGATCAGCTACCAGTAGTTGCACTGAGGAAACATTACATCTGCCTGTAATAAGTGACTCCTCTTCCTGTCTAGCATCACAAGGAACCACATAGAACTTCCTTTTCAAGGAGGGTAAGTTAATCTCCAAAGTAGAAAAATGCATGAAATTAGTGTTTGTAGAAGCCTGTAATTACCATGCGTAAAAATTGCTCAAACTGTACCAGGCCTTCGCCGAGTATAGACTTCAAGTAATAAAAACAAAACTTAAAACCGATCCTTGTGAAAAGACCTTAATACTTATGAAAGTCCCCAAGTATATGTATGCATGAAATTAGTATTTGTAGACGCCTCTAATTAGCATTCACGGCTTCTCTCATTAGCTCTTAGCTCTCTCATCGGACTCGCAAAAATTTCTCAAGCCATTTCTAACAATACTTTCTGAAGGCATCATCTCTGATTCCAAAGAAAAGAATCAGCTAAATTTGTAATTAATATCATAAGCAAGTTCAGACATCTCAAAAAACATACTGTCCGAGCTACCAGATGACCCCTTTTTTTATTCACCTGAAGGCCATAATATCTAAGCATTAAAGGCAAGAATGGGAAAACAAAACAACATTCTTACGGAAAAAAAAAAAAAGAAGGTCAAATACAAGCAGGTCAAAAGTCAGCACAATTCACCATATATAGCTACATATCAAGAATCAGTTGAAAGTATAGAAAGTTTGAATGGAGATGAGATATAAACATTCTACAAGAGTATCACCTCAAAAAGAGATCTCAATTCAGAGTCTTCAACGTTGCTGTTAATATTTCGAACAAAGAGTGTCCTAGAAGGATGTTCACCATATGGATGTTCCCCAGCAACAGTAGCAGTTCCAGCTCCATTCGTATAAGTGTACTGACCCAATCCATTTGAGGTAACACCTGCTATGCTTAACTTTGACAGTCCAATACTTAAGCTCTCTTGAGGATCAATGTCTAGTTCCATTCCTCCTCCACTACCGAAAATGTCATCTTCTTCCAGATCTTTCAACTGACTAGGCAACCGGCTCAAGTCAAAATCATCCATTATACCAGCAAAAAGCTCATCTTCATCAGGGAGCAAGCTTCCAAGAGCACCTGGCTCGAAATCTTCAGCTATATCCTTAACTTCATCTTCTAGGTCAACTTTGTCTAGCTTAGGGAAGTTATCATCAACAGACTGAACACCATTCACCGGATTAACATAATTCACTGCATTTGGCCAAAATTTCTTCATTAAATCCCCATAAATACAAAAGAGCTCTACACAAAATTTCGATAAAGCATACATACACTTCTCGTGTGGAAGAACAGGCAAGGAACTAGAAAACAAGCTAACATCATTGGATGCACGATAGGCATCGGCACCACGTGAAATCCCCCAAGCACCATTTCCAGCTTTCCTTGAAATATTAACTGATGGAATGTCTGATGGACCTACAAAAAGATGAGGAAAAATCATTGTGCAAACTTGAGTCAACCTAAACCTCCTAGCACTACACAGAGTAACTCTCTATCGTCCATTGGATGAGACTATTGCATGTTTGTTGGTCTGAATCAATTATATTTTAAGTTTGACCAGTTTAATGCTACCATTATTTTGAGAAGCGTGCTCATAATGGGAGAAAAGAATGTTGTTCTCGCATCTCAATTACACATCTTTTGAGACAAGTTCAAGGAGGGTGGGATCTGCATACGTCATTATACTCTTACCAACCAAGAAGAGCTCAAAGCTCAACCCTCCTCACAAGGGCTAATTCATTTCTTCAAAGATATTGTTAAAGTTGGTCTTAGATGGCCAAAGTTGGCTTTCTTCTGGAATCACAAAGTTCTATTATTTCAGATCTTCTTTTCAAGAGAATATTCAGAGCCTGATTATAATAGAGTACTTTGATGGTAAGTACTGCATAGTAATCAAGCAAAAAGCAATCGTGCATCTTCCATGAGCCATGGTCATACCAAACTTAGTTGATAAATTTCCCGCTTCTCCTAAATCAGTAGCTTTCAAAGTTGTAACCAACATCAAAGGTAAAAGGACAAAAAGCTAAGATAATGGTCCACAAATAACATAGGTTAATTTTCCCATCGAGCTTTCATCTTTTCTTCATCAGCGAAAGAAAGGAATCGCACCTGTAGGAAAATCAGACACCAAATCCTTTGAGAGCTCCTCCATTTATTTATACACTGCCCAAAAAAAAAAAAAATAAGATTGTGACTAAAGTGAACTTAATCGGTCGACAGAGGCATACAACGACGAGATGCAAATCAGGATGTACGTACCATTTTTCAAAAAGGGATACAAAAATTTGAACGGCAGTCACAAGGCACAGGAGTATTCGATAAATCAATAATTCTACATACATACTACAGGCGCATGCATGATCCAATAAGTACCCGCATGAAAGCTCCTATCTAGAAGCAGTAAGCAACCCCAGTGATAAAGACTATGAAAGCTCCTCTATAAGAAGACCAGTAACTATACTTTTACATGCCGATAACAAATTCCATGACTGCATGCACGTAATCAGTTGTTTAATTGTCTCCATCTAAATTTCTAAATTTTGTGCAGTATCAGCCACAGCCCAACACCTGCTGAATCTCCTACCATGATCCGTGAAGCTACGGTATACCAATGTTGTCAGAAGACTATCATATTCCACTGAAAAATTTCGTGCAACCCTATCTAATCAGCTTTACACGTTTCCCTCCCCTTTCATTGATTTACTCCACGAAATGCAGATGACAACATTGAACGCCTGCAATCTGATTAGCTTCACAAAGAGAATAAGCATATGGGAAATAGCATATCCCAAGACCGAGCACTACAGTCTAAAGACACAACTCTGCAGCTGATGAAACTCAGCGAAAGTCACACGGACTCCTAAAGTCAAAGCTCCACCATTGCCTTGACCAGAAAAACTCGAGCCATAAGCTCATAATCTAATCGCAGCGATTCCTCAGCCAAAACCCAATTTTCTTCAACCTCAAATTTATCTAAGCAACAACAATTAAAAGCGAAAACCCACAAAAAAAAATGCAAAATTTCCCGCTGTATCAGCTGATCAACAACCCCATCAAGCACCACTACGCTAAAAGCATCAAACTCTCCAAAAACTGATCATGCGAGCACACACAAACACAGACACGCATAGAGAGAGAGAGACAGAGAGAGAGAAGAGACTCACACTTTGCAGGAAACATGAGAAGATCCTCGAAAGCCGACAACAACAGTTAAAAAGGAGTTGGGTAAAGGAGAGTCATTTGGCAGTCACGACCCAGGAAAGAAAACGAAAAATAAAGAAATAGCTTCCACCCTAAAAAGACGGTGAGAGACAGAGAGTTTCGTAGAAGCAGGGAAATTTCTTTCTTCTACTCTTCCACTTCCTCCTCTCTCGCCGAGAAACTAGACACGATACCGAGAGGCAGAGAGAGACAGAGGGGGGAAAGCGTGGGAAAATTATAGAGAGAGAAAGTGAAGCCAAAAGGGAAGCAAAAAAAAAGAAAACGGGGGGGGGGGCGGCTTTTAGAGAGAGAAAGCACGGTACAGTGGAGAAATGATTGGAGAGAGCCAACAACGATCCCGCATCTATTCAATTCAAGAGCGATATAAAAATCAAATCTTTGCGTTTCTTGCGGTTCTAATAAAGAATCCTTCGAACACCCGATTGAATTTCGCTTGTTATCGCATCATCCGCGCATAAACCGATGCCTCGTTTTCCATCAGAATGATGTGCGGAGGAAGCCATTAGATTCCAAGAAATGCAAAAACAAATGCGTCCTCGCGAGTGTCTACTGTCACTTGAGCATAAAGAATTCAATTCAATTATTCAGAGTTTCAGACAAACACAGCAGAGAAAACCTTAAAAGAAATGAAACAGCAAACAACAATCTCTCTCTCTCTCTCTCTCTCTTCTCTCTCTAAGCCCCAATAATTCCAAACAAGAATTCGGCTGCATTTGAATCCTGTTTGGCGTCCGTTGACACCACCCTCCTCACACTCTGACGTCACCGCTCAAGAAACCCGACCCGACTTGCTCTTGCTCCCTCCCCTCCTCCCCCTTTCCTCCTGACTTTCTCGTGACAAGAAAGGGGGCGGAAGAAACCCCGCGAGAGGAAAATGTAGCGGCAAGTTTGAGGTTGATGCTCCTTTCAGCTTTGTGTTCTTCCTGCCGTATTTCCTTGATTTTGTACTATGTTTGAGAGAAAGCGAGGAGATGAAAGAACGGAGCTGCTAGGAGGGAACATGCACGAAATTCTTCTGACTTTCTTATTCTTCCACTCAAGCTTTTTTTTATCTTTCCCCGTTTCTCTTCATTTTCCGAACATAACATTTGAGAACAATTTGAGTTCATGTCAATTTTCCGTGGCCTCTAATTGCGGGTTCAGATGATTGTTATCGTCGGATTTGACTATGGAATACTCGTTTCCCATGTTGTTTGTTAATAATTCTATATTTGTGAATGTTTTAGCAACAAAAAAAAAAGAAAGAAACTCTATATTTGTGAATGACTTTAACATGTAATTATAGCAGCCATCGGCGACTAGGGTGGACATCTCCATAGTACCCTAGGATTGTTTGATCTTGGACGGATAGCGAGGGTCAACCCTCGGCACTCGACTCTCGGAATCAAAGAGAAATAACCGAATTCACATGATTTAGCTACGGAGGATCAAACTTGAGGACAAGGGACTCGTTTCAATTTAGCTGACGACGGATCACAGAGACCCCGAGTCGGGGCCGGCGACCCGTTGTCCCGACGAGGGTCGCCGGACCAAATCTGGGCTCCATCCGTTGTGGATATAACCGATAACACCACGCCCAAAGCCCAACACATACTGTTTCAGCCCAATAGTGAAATCCAATCTCAGGCCCTACAAAATCATCTCAGCCCTTGGATCAAGCCCACGTACAATCTCAGCCGCCCAATGGACCTCACCTCCATATAAACAGCTCAAGAAAAATAAACACCAAGAAACCTTCCTCTTAAACCCTGCAAAAATTTCAAGAAACCCTAGACCTTCCGCACCTGCTTCCTCCAATGGCCGTGCTCGCCCACCCGCCCCTCGCGCCGCCGCCGCCCCGGGTGAGCGCCGGCACCATCGAGAGAGCCGTGCAGGCCCTGCTCAAGTGGAAGGACGCCAAGTCCAAGACCCAGAAGGCGTCGCTCCTCGAGCCCGACGACTTCGTCTACCTCATCCTCACCCTCAAGAAGATCCCCGCCGCCGCCCGCACCAACCCGCTCAAGATCCCCCTCCCCCACCCGCTGGTCGACCCGGCGGCCGCCGAGACCTGCCTCATCATCGACGACCGCCCCAAGTCGGGCCTCACCAAGGACGCCGCCCAGAAGAAGATCAAGAGCGACGGCGTCCCCGTCGCCAAGGTCCTCAAGCTGTCCAAGCTCAGGACCAACTACCGCCCCTTCGAGGCGAAGAGGAAGCTGTGCGATTCGTACGACGTGTTCTTGGCCGACCGGAGGGTCGTCGGCATGCTGCCCAGGCTGCTCGGGAAGCAGTTCTTCAAGAAGAAGAAGATCCCCGTGGGGGTGGACTTGAAGCACAAGAGCTGGAAGGAGCAGGTGGAGAGGGTCTTCGCGTCGGCCCTGTTGTTCGTGGGGACGGGGACTTGCAGCGTCCTGAAGGTCGGGAGGGTGTCGATGGGGAAGGAGGAGATTGCCGCGAATGTGGCCGCGGCGCTCGAGGGGGTTGCGGAGGTCGTGCCCCGGAAGTGGCGGAATGTGAGGTCTTTCCATTTGAAGCTGCTGGACAGCTTGGCCCTGCCCGTTTATCAGGCGTTGCCGGATGTGAAGCTGAAGATCCAAGGGCTTAAGGATAAGGAGGAGGAGGCGGAAAAGGAAAAGGAAGGGAATGAGGTCGAGGAGGAAGGGAAGGGAAGCGAGGGCGCGGCTAAGAAGAAGGGCGCGAAGAAAGGGCGAATTCACGAGGTGAGGTATATGGATACCAATGTGCATTCATTGATGGATGAGGACGATGATGCTGATGATGCCGACATGGGTGAAGTCGAGGAGAGTGATGACGACGATAATGATGAGATAGATGGTAGCAAAATTAAGGGGAAGAAGGGAAAACTTAAGAAGGAAGGAGATGTTCATGAATTGGGTGGTGAGAAAATTTCGAAGAAGTTGGTGAAGTCGCAGAAAGAAGGAGAAAAGAAGACAAAAACCACTCTATCCGGAGACTCAAAGAAAGGGGATGGTGCTAAGAAGACTAAGAAGAGCAATTTAACAGTAAAAGAAGGGGAAGTATCTAAAGGCAAGAAGGAGAAGAAGAGGAAGATTAAGGTTTGATGAAGGGAAGAGAGAGCCGGACATTGATTCGATGGTATCCGAATGAGACGGAATAGGCTTTTTACGTGCTGATCACCGCTCCCTCGAATCCTAGTGAGGTCGAGTATGTATGCCTTCCGAAAAGTTTTGGCTTCAATTATCGATTATATATTGAGTTTTATCGTGCTAGTGATTAATGACATGTATTGCCTGATCACTTGCCTTGTCTCTTGATTGTCACCTTGTTGCTCACAGAATGGTTACTGACCGTCAGATTTTGTTCTGCTTGCTTCAACATTTTGCTGCTGTTTGGTTTCTTAGCTTTGACAAGTTAACAATCTTACCATCCTCTAGTTTGTACTCTGTTTTGTTCTTGAACTAAAGAGGTGAAGAGAACTTAGGGTCAGTTGGATTACGTGGAGATGCAAGTAGGAGAGCTGCTTGCCCAGAGAGTACCCCGCATTCATGTGGTGTTCTAGGATAGCTGACTTGTGCCTTCTCAACTCTACACACAATTTACTTCGCCTCTAACTTGATTTTGAATATAGTGGCATGGGGTAGTCACTTGAGATTTTCGATCATGGACTCTGTGTCCTTGAACGCCTGACTCGCAGATTGGGGGAGGAACCCTTAAGCATGATGGGCATGTTCCTATTTGTTGGGTGTGAACATAATCATCACGTAAGGCACATTAGTGAGATCTATTGCAAAGTTGACGTCTTGGAGTTCTCCCTACACGCCTGAGAGATTCGAATTGACCAAAATTAGAAGAGCAGGATTATCCTATGAGATGATAGATGGAGATTCTTACCTTAGAAATTGAAAAAAAAAAAAAAGGATGCATGTCAAGTTTTCGGGTCTCGCAGGCTTAACTTATAATGTGCGCATTGCAGTGCGAGCATCCCAGATACTATTGTAAGTTGTCATCGCAAATCCTACATGCTTTCAAGCTACGCATATAAGTTAAAACGGGGGGCATACTCGAACGGTCAGCTCGGGCACCAAAATAGCCGAAACTGCCTTAAATGACAGAATATAGAATGACGGATGGCAGCAAATATTGCTACTCTTCTCTGTCCTCTGGCGCAGCTAAACAGAAGGCGAAGTCTCTCATCAATTAGCAGAAAAAATGTTAGCCACGCCCAGTGCATATCACCCCAACTTAAGTGTGCCCTTGAATGAGGCAGCGCCCACATGATCTAACGATAACGGTACATGTGAGCTAGGCCAACTTGATCTAACGATAACGGTACATGTGAGCTAGGCTCAAACCATTCGCATGCACCCAATACTTGTTCCAATTTCCAAGAGGATAGCACGTGTGACCCATATTGATAATTCCACGACCGTGGAAGGTTGTCTGGAATCAGCATACCTTATTCTCAGAATTGCTGCAACTGTGGAAGGTTTCTCCTTGGTACAAAACCTAACAGCTATCCCAGCTATCCTTCCAAGAAGACCAGAAAGCGTTTGGAGGTCCATTTTTTTTTTTTTTGCTGTCATTTTCAACGCACCTTCATTCTAACCCAAACGACAAAATCAACCACCATAACAATACACTGATGAAGATGGGAGTCAACATCTTCACCAAGCGTAAGTTCCTGAAAACCGATGAACTCAAGATACAAAGACAAACAGATCTCGAATACACTAAAAAATTTATCCAAGTCTGTGACCTAAGCTGTCCTCTATCATTCTCAGAGATTTTTTGAAAGCATTTCTGTAGAAAGAAAAAGGGATAATGACACAAATAGTCCCTGAACTTTGACTCAATGTGCAATTTGGTCCCTATACTTTTAATTTGTTCAATGTAGTCCCTGAACTTTAACCCAATGTTCAATGTGGTCCCTGAACTTTCAATTTGTTCAATGTGGTCCCTGAACTTTCGGTACATGTTCAATATAGTCCCTGAACTTTATAAAAATGTTCAATGTAGTCCTTCCATTGATTCAAGTTCAAGGACTATATTGAACATTTTTATAAAAGTTCAGGGACTATATTGAACATGTACCGAAAGTTCAGGGACCATATTGAACAAATTGAAAGTTCAGGGACCACATTGAACATTGGGTTAAAGTTTAGGGACTACATTGAACAAATTAAAAGTTCAGGACCAAATTGCACATTGAGTCAAAGTTCATGGACTATTTATGTCATTTTCCCAAAGAAAAACTGGCTGAAGGGATCGTGTATATTTCATATGAAGGAAAGGATCAGGTTAAGTGTTCAATGTAAATGCATTTGCAAGTTATTACTTGTCATTTGTCGTGTGCATTAAGCCAACTTGAAGCTTTTCAGTTTCTAAACTATATTGTTTGATTGACTTATGCATTTACAGCAAGAGATTTATGAAGGAGAGCATGCACCAGTGATAAGGTGCGAATCTGTACTCTTACTCTGTCACAAAGGCAATAAAGAAACAAACAGCAGATCATCTGCAATCTCGATCTCCACTGCCCACTGAAAGAACTTGGAAGAAGACCCACACAGAAACAACTCGACATTTATCTCTAGTCATCTGCAAGAAAAAATCTCCCTTACATTTAGGAAGGAGATTGCACTGGTAAGCCCCCACAGGATACCCAGAAATCATTATCTGAAGGCAAGGCCGTAATACCTGAGCAAGTGCAGAGTGACAACTGCACCCTATTCTGCATTGTATGAACTTTAAAAAGTTTTGAGTAAGTTACCCTAAGGGAAAGCTTAATTTAATAGCTTTCCTAGAGTGTGCTTGTCAATCGAAAGTGCTGCATAAGATAGTGAATTCTGTCCACAAGGCAATTCACATGAATTTAAAGTCAGTTGAGAGTAGAAGTGAAAAGAGCAGTTTTAAAATTCCCTTTTCTACAGAGTTTGGTATTACTTAACCATGTCCTAATCATCAATCATTCCTTCCTGTTGTTGGTGTTAAATTATTGCCCAAAAGCTGCCTACTTATACTGCTCTGTGCCTTTCCTGCTGTGTTAAGTGAATTCAACAAATTCATAATCACCATATCCAAGCGGGATTGGCGGTTTTGTGTGCAAATGGCAGGCGGTGCAGATTTAGCTGTCCTTCCTCTATGCAAAAAAGCTGTTGTTGACAGAAGCCAAGAACCCGGCAAGAACCACCACAAGAACCTGGTTTCTTCTGCAGCAGAGGGAGAGACAATTCGGCGGCCTCGGGGAAGGCCCGCCGGTTCCAAGAACAAGCCCAAGCCACCCATCATTGTGACAAGGGACAGTGCCAATGCCCTTCGAGCTCACGCCATGGAGGTGAGCTCTGGCTGCGATGTGGCCGAGAGCCTGACCAGCTTCGCCCGCAGGAAGCAGCGCGGGCTCTGCATCCTCAGTGGAACAGGCTGCGTGACCAATGTGACAATCCGGCAGTCGGTGTCCTCCGGGGCTATCGTGACCCTCCATGGCCGGTTTGAGATCCTCTCGCTACTAGGCTCGATCCTGCCCCCACCAGCCCCGCCCGGGATAATGGGCCTGACAATATACCTTGCTGGGGCCCAGGGGCAGGTGGTTGGAGGGGGTGTGGTCGGCGGGCTGATTGCCTCGGGCCCTGTCATGATCATGGCCGCGTCATTCATGAACGCGACGTTCGACCGATTGCCGCTGGATGATGATGAAGTGTCTGTGGCAATTCAGAATCAGCATTACCAGAACGGTCGGCACCAGCACACGGACATATCTGATTTATACGGAATGCCTCAGAACCTGCTTAACAATGCCGGGAGTCTCCATCCGGAAATGTATGCTTGGGGGAGCGCACGGGCCGCGCCGAAGACTTAAGCTTACTTGGGAGAAACTTAAGAAAAACAATCCTCAATACAGAAAGAAAAGTTACTATAAAAAGGTTGTTTGTTTGGCTTTTCCTGAAGCAGCATAAGCATTGTAGCTTTGGTTACTGATCAAATATGGAAATACTCACTTGGTATCACAGTTCCATTCCACAATGAGAGCATGAGGCACAAGCGCAGTCCTAAATCCTTCACTGTCCTCAAATTGTTATTATCACCAAAAAGACCAGGAATTTTATCGCACATCTCGTAGTAGTTTAGATTTAGATGATTTTAGCATTTTGCAATGTTCCGCTACTAATACACCATGACCAGAAGCATCTCGACGTGTATCAAGCTCTAAGGAAAGCATGAGCTTGGTTCTTATAGTCGGAATATCAGCAACATTAACTGATGACCTGACACATTATACAAGAAAAGAAATGCTACCATTGGAAAAGCTATCAAATTCATATGACTATGGTAAAAACAATAGTAGGTCCATGTCCATCTGAATCAGATAAAAAAAACAATCTCCGCAGGCCGAAAACAACGCAACATTCGAAATTGCAGAGATCATTCCTGTGGTAAGGCGGCAACACAAGAAAATTAAACGATCATTTATAGGAAGAAAGGAGAAAAACAGAAGATGCTATCCTCCCAAGCCTGCCAAACTCGAAGCACAAATGGGAACGTCCGAGCACATTTCCTCCTAAGTCCAGGCTCATCTAGGTCTGCTCATATGTAAGAAAAATCTTCCTCTCTCTCGGAAGGCTGATTAAGGGTGTAAATTAACATTCTTGGCTTTCTACATTGGGATGTGATGCAAAGAGGGGCAGTTAAAATTCTAGCCGGCTCATAATTCATTAATTTAAATTTTTAAGTAAAAGTTGATCCAAAGAACTCAAAATTGGATTCCCTCTTGCTTGCAAGTAATAATATCGGGTCCCAACACTTTCACGTTTGTAAATTTCTACTCAAGGACGAAGAAAAAAAGGATAATGACACAAACAGTCCTTGAACTTTGGCATAATATGCAATGTGATCTCTGAACTTTTAATTTATTTAATATGGTTCCTGAACTTTAACCTAATGTTCAGTAGACTGAACATTTTCATATAGTTCAGGGACCACATTGAAAATATACCAAGAGTTCAGTGATGACATTGAACAAATTAAAAGTTCAGGGATCACATTGCACATTAGATTAAAGTTCAGGGATCACATTGAACAAATTAAAAGTTCAAATATCACATTGCATATTAGGTCAAAGTTCACGGACTGTTTGTGTTATTTTTCCAAGAAAAAATGGGAACTTTTTCCTTTCTTTCACTATCACATGGAAAAAGAAGTGGAAAAAAATAATGAACCTCAAACTTCGTATCTTGTTTCCACTATACATGCTTGTAATGCCTTTCTACTTAAGTAATCCTCCAATGCTCCGAGACAACCTTCTTCTCTAAAGCTTAACTTGAACTGTTAGACCAAAGAGGACTAGGCCCTCTCTTTTTCTTTTGGAGACGATGCTTTTTCAAAGGGAAAGCACTGCAGAAGGATCCTGGTCCACCATCACACTATAGAGTCCACACACCCCTATCTCTAATTACGCAAGCACTCTCCATCTCTCTCTCTCCCTCTCTGTGCAAGCTTTCTCTTGGAAACAAGAATGGATTCTTCCTGGCCGGAAGTTGTGATCTTCGACGTAGAGACGATCATAGAAACGGAAGCCATCATAGAATTCGGGGCCATAATCGTATGCCCACAAACGCTGGTCGAGAAAGAGTACTTCTCTTCTCTGGTTCGGCCCCGACACGACTGGGAGTTCGGAGAATTCGAAGAACGAAGTAATGGACTCAGAAGAGAAGATATCATTTCCTCCAACATCTCCTTCTCGGACATCGCTCACACCGTCTATGACATGCTTAACGGTATATACTCACAGTCTAAAACATGCTTTAATACAACGTTAAGTTTCAGCTTGATCTCTCCTCCCCTTAATCCTTCGTTGTAGGAAGAATTTGGGTAGGCCACAACATCAAGAACTTCGACCGTGGAATTGTTGAGGACGCGTTCCACGAAATCCGGCGGCCGCTGCCAGAACCCTTGGACGTAATCGACACGTTGGAGTTGTGCGAGAAGTTTAGAGGGGAAGTTGACAATCTAGCGGTATAGGAAAAGCTTTTCCAAATTGGCGTTTCAACTCTTTACCATGTGATTTCTTTTATTAGACGCTTATATACAGACACTTTTTACTTGATGAAATACATATATATGATCAAACTTTGATTAAATCCTGAACTCCCACGTAGTCAAGGAATGGAAAGGTTCCAGTCTCCAGTATTTAACATGCATTCGACGAAAAAGAGGTTTTCCAAAAAAAAAAAAAACAACAACCCAGTTTGTGGTAGCTTTACAATGTTGTTGCATGTCCTTAAACCTCCTTATATGCTTGACCAAAATGTTTAGGAAAAATTATCCTTAATTAATCAACAAACCGGAGTTTTGGCCTCATTATTTAGATGAATTATACTTCTTTTCCTGATGCAGATGGCAACACTTGCAGAATACTTTGGTCTCGGAGAGCAAACACATAGGTAGTTTTCTTTGTTATTGGGATCTAAATTGTACATCAATTGTCCAACCGATGATTTGCTCTTACTTAAATTTATGTAATTTATTTAACTCGAACTCTTTTATCAATGAATTTACTAGAAGTTTTAAGTGCCCTCGGCTATAATTAACTTAAGGTTTAGTGACCATGCAAGGAATTTTTGGTAGATTATTAACAAGAATGTTAATGGAGTAAGGGCTAATTAAAAGCGGGGTGAAAGTATATGGTGAATTAAACAGGGTGATATGTATGCATGAAAGTAAAGAATGAATTTTAACGATTATTGAAGTAGTTTTTACCTAGTGATCACAAGCTGCATTTTGGAGCTGAGAAAAATATTTACCTAGTGATTAAAAACACAGGAGCAATTCCATCTCGAGTACTGTTAAATATTGAATTGCTTTCATCGTATACATTGTTCGCCAGGAGCTTAGATGATGTGCGGTTGAATCTCCGGCTATTCCAACGCTGCGTCGAGGTTTTCTACCTGGTAATAATTCCAAGTTTGTGTGTACATTTTACGGGTACCCGCCTTTCGCCTATCTTAGCTTTTACTCAATGTTTAATCGAAGACATGATTTTTTCCTTCGGTTCGACCAAGTACATACCTAAAACTTTCAGAATATGTCTCATATGGTCCTTCCTATGTGATCATGTGTTTTTTCTTGATCCGACTCTCCAGACCTAACTTTCTGTCGCTCTTTATGGGTTATACATAGACGGAGTTCTCAAACCTCTTGATGAGGGCTGTGAATAACAACGGCGTTCCAAGGTTTTTAGACCCTGGAGAGGATTCCATTCATACGCTCAGAGCTCATTGCGACTCCTGTGATTCTTTGGATCAAGTAGGAGATGTGTATTTGCCAATCTCTTGTGCTTCTCTGAACGTGAGGTGGGGGATCGAACCAATAAGGTTCTGGGACGACAACGGCCGCCCGAAGCTGAGCTTCGTGGTCAACGCACCGGGCAGCCTGAGCACGATGCTAGAAGAATGCGATCGGATGGTGGAAGGGTTGTTTAGGAAATTCGGGATCAACTCCAAGTGGACAAAAGTCGTGGACAGAGGAAGGAACTCCCCCGCAGTAAGGTTGCGGTAAGTTTCAAATCAGAATTTGAGCTTCTACAATGAAAGTAGTAGATTTAGTCGATATACACATGAAGTCTCCTTCCACGAGTCGGATTTTTCCTTGCAATTACAGCATGAAGATTGATTAAAACTATAGAGACAGATGACCGATAACATAATTTTTTCTTAAAATTCTTTTTTCTCTCGTGATTGAGCAGCATCACAAATACAGCAAGCAAGCAGACGATAGTATGCAAGAGGATAGATTCGGGAAAAACAAAAAGGCTCGTCTTCGATGAGAGCAAGCTCGGGACACTCATCACTCCAAGCACCCAGTTGGACGCCTACTTCTTCTTGGAACCCTACGACTATCAAGGGTTCGCTGGTATTAGATTAGTGGCTCATAAGTTGGTCATGGATCCCTAGTTTCCAACTGGCGTCGGACATCCCCAACGACGTGAATGAAGAACAGTACGTCTATACTATAGTATCTCTATGGAGATGTTGGAGAGTATGGTGTGCAGAGAGTGTGTATCAGGGAATCACTATAATATGTATACAGGCGAAGCTGCTGATGACATTTTAAGACTTTGCATAATATTAACTTGTTGAGATGTTTTCCTCTGTTACTTGACTTCTGTTATAATTTCATAGAATTACTTCCTATGACATCAGAGAAGAATGAATAGAGTGGATTAAGAAATGGGTTTCGCATGTTTTTCCATCTTATGTCTGGTTATGACAAAAGAATGATGCAAAGATAGAATGGTGATTACTTTTCTATTGAATCCTAGTTATTTCGGGCTCTTGTGGAGTCGCTCTTTGAGGTTGATAAGGCTTTACTCAAGAGTGAATTAGGCTTGGATAGGTTCGAAGGTTGAATCACTTTACCCCTAGAAAGAATCGAGGCGAAATTCCGCTTGAAACATTCACATTTCTTGGTGTTAGTGATGCGAGATTAAACAGATATGATGTGCTCAAAGGTAAAGTCTTGTTCTTCTCAATTCCTTTTTCACAAGGATAAATGCGCACAATCTGTTTGGACATTTCTCTGTATTTATTGAACAAAGTTAGAGAACCCTGTTGTCGTGTAAAATCCCTGGATCGGTCGGGGATGTTGGTTTCTGTCCAATAAATTTCAACTATTTTCAACACGTTTGGTTGCAGTAATCGTTATTACATCACAGATATATTACAAATTGATTGTCTATTACAGGTCCGAACACATTTCCTCCCAAGTCCGGGCTCATCTAGGACCGATCATATGTGGGTGTTAGGCGAAAGAAATTTCACATCGGAGACATCATGCAACATGAAACAGTTAATATATCATAATTGATCAATAATATTTATTAGCTTTAGTTTTTAAGCGGAGGTAGAACCGAACTAAATATCTTGACGAGCTCAAATTTAATTTCTCTCTCGGTGATCTCCCCGCGCATGGCCCCCGAACTTCTGCTTAAGGATGAAGAAAAATGGGAACTTTTTTTTCCCTTTCTATGGCCATCACATGAGAAAAGCAAAAGTGGAAAAGATAATGAATCTCAGACTTCATATCTTGTTTACACTGTATATGCTTGGAATGCCTTTCTACTGTAATATCCTCCAGTGCTCTGCGACTTCATCACTAAGACTTTAGACTAAGAGAAACAGTGACCAAAGCCGGCTCGGCCCTCTCTTTTTCTTTCGGAGACAGACGCTTTTTCAAAGTAAAAGGTTCATTCTATCCTCCAGTGCTCTGCGACTTCATCACTAAGACTTTAGACTAAGAGAAACAGTGACCAAAGTCGGCTCGGCCCTCTCTTTTTCTTTCGGAGACAGACGCTTTTTCAAAGTAAAAGGTTCATTCAACTCTCTCTCTCTCTCTCTCTCTCTCTGCGTGCAAGCTTTCTCTTGGAAGCAACAATGGATTCTTCTTGGCCAGAAATCGTGATCTTCGACGTAGAGAAAGATAACAGAGAGGAGAACCATCGTAGAATTCGGGGCCATAACCGTATACCCGCAAACGCCGGGCGAGAAAGAGTACTCCTCTCCTCCGGTGCGGCCCCGACACCGCTCCACCGCGCAGTGGACTCAATAGAGGAGACATTATCTCCTCCGACATCTCCTTCACGGACGTCGGCTCACGAGTCACGACCAAAAGGAACAGCGGAAAAGCATAGCCATCCGTTTCGACAATAATTGTTCACCACATCATCCATAAATCTGTGTTACAATATAATTATTTTTCTTTTATTTAGCATGTGCGCTTTCTTTTTCTCGTCAATGCTTTTATTGTCATACCCTAACTCTTATAGGTATAGGAGTAATGACACTGTTGTCCTTCTACCTAAACAACTCATTAGTTATGACATAATATATATATTCCAAACTCAACTCAACAAATATCAATAAACATATTCAACTATCTCAACTTAACTTACATAAAAAACGCAACTACCAAAAGGTCCTTGCCAATAGCACTCTCATCCTACTTGCCGCTGGCTAAAGAACTTGCAAAAGATTTAGAAAGTATGGTATGTATAAATCTCTTCTAAATAGATTGAGTATTCACTATTCATCTTTTTAGAACAAATACATAAGTAGATAAAAGATTAGTAAATGTCGGATTCGATTTTATGCGTCCAATATGCCATAAGGAGACTTTTTCTTTCAAAGGAATATCAAACCCTGCGGTGCCTCTTTAACTCATGATACAACTAATTCCTATGAAATATATCTAATTCCTATCATTTTCAAGACATAAGTTTTACAAAATCGAAGAAGACAGTAGCACTAGTCACTTGGGTCAAGCTACCCGAGCCAATGAACTTATAATCCTATCAATTAAGTGAGAAAACATATCAAAATCCAGTAAAATGCTACTTTAACTAATGATTTGACTAAACTATGCTTATCGAGCGACCAATCAACTCCTACTTGCCAACGAAAGGCTCGCCCGTAGCGGATACGCACTGCTATCCACTACGCGCAGCTCATGCGCTGAATTTGTTCACGCCACAATTCTCTCCACCGAATCTCGAATCAAATGAGATTACTATCAAAAGAAAACCATTTCAATACAAGTTTGAGATGTCACAAAGCATGCTTGAAATATCACGAAAATGGATCAAGCTAGGAGGAGTGTTTAAATTTGTGATCCATTTTCTAAGAATTCTCTTAGCCAAATCTAGAGAAGTCTACCCATGCGTGAGAAGCAATTTTGCTTCTAGACATTAAAGCAAGAAAATTGTTTTAATTAGCCACCATTTATGGTCGGTAAAGTAAATTCCACGGTTGTAACTGTAAAGAACACCAAGAAAGTGGTTTAAGTTGGTTGAGATGGCCTCTATATATAAGAGTGATCATCATTCCTGAGATAGTTGGGGGAAATGAGCTGGAAATGCATTTCCTATGCTCGTCCACCTAAACCATTGATATAGGCCCTACATCCAATCTATATACCTTGTTTACCTATTCATCACCTACCAAATATTTCCCACAAATGTGCATATTTGCACATCACCAACAAAAAACTATCATCGATATTAAAATCATGATTCCGGGCAGTCAAATTTTTAACATCCTTCCTAAATAAAGCGTGTCAAGTGATCATGTGTTTTTGCTTGATGACTCAGCAAACCTAAATCTTTTGTTACTCCTTTTGGGTTATGCACAGACAGAGTCCTTAAAAATTTTGAGGGCACATTATAGCAACACGAACAGCAACAACGTTCCAAGGTGTTTAGAGCTGATTATGACTCTTGTGATTCGTTTGATGAAGTACGAGGTGTGTTTGCAAATCTCTTGTGCTTCTCTGAATGTGAAGTTTGGGCCTGAACCAAGAAGGTTCTGGGACGACAATGGCCGCCCAAAACTGAGTTTTGTGGTCAACGAGCTCGGACTATCTAAGTACGATGCTAGATGAATGCGACCAGGTGTTGCGAAGGTAGCTTTGGAGATTCGGGATCAAGTCTGAGTGGAGAAACGTTGTGGACAGAACACGGAACTCCCCCACTGTAAGGTTGCGGTGAGTTTTAAAACTGAATTTGAGTTTATACGAAGAAATGAGTAGATTTAGTAGATATATCTGTGGTCTCCTTCCAAAAGTCGGAGTTCTTCCTAAAATTGCAGCATGAAGATTGATCATAACTACAGAAAGAGATGATCGATGATATGAGATTAGAACAGAGGAGTTTCCGGTCTGGTACCACGTGAGATTTGAGTGGGAATACTACCGATTTACATGAAAAGCATTAAAACTGACACAACCTTTTGTTTAGCTTTAGAAACGTGTCATTCAAATTTTGATTTTTCTATGTTGTGATTTGAGTAGCATCGCTTATACAACAGACAAGAAAACGATAGTATGCAAGAGGAAGGATTCCGGGGGAACAAGAAGGCTTGTCTTCGATGAGAGCAAGCTGAAGACACTCCTCACTCCAAGCCCCAAGTTGGATGCCTACTTCTTCTTGGAAACCTACGACTATCAAGGATACGCAGGCATTAGATTGGTGGCTCATAAATCGATCATTCATCCCTATTCCTGGAAGCAAAAGCTGCTCTTTCATTGTATGCCCAGAAAAATTTTATCAGTTCATTGCCAACTGATGTCGGACATCCCCGACGACATAGGTATGTGTCTACTATTGTATCTCTGGAGAGATGCTGAAAAAGTATTGTGTGCAATGAGTGTCTTCTTCGGTACTACTGTTATATTCATACAAGCGAAGCTACTGATGACGCTTTAAGACTTTGCAAAATATTTGCTTGTTGAGATGTTCTCCTCTATTACTTGACTTTTGTTATAATTTCAATTCCTTATTCACAGGGAGAAATGCCCATAATCTGCTTGGACACTTCTGTATTTATTGAACAAAGTTAGAGAACCCTGTTCCGCTATAAAATGCCTAGATCGGTAGGGAATGTTGGTTACCGTCCAACGAATTTCGACTATTTTCAGCTCATTTGATTGCAGTATCCATTATTTCATTATAGACCTATTACAAGTTGACTGTCCGTTACAGGTCCGAGCACATTTCCCCCTAAGTCCAAGCTCATCTGAATCTGATCATATGTGGAAACATCTCTCTCTCTCTCTCTCTCTCTCTCTCTCTCTCTCTCTCTCTCTCTCTCTCTCTCTCTCTCTCTCTCTCTCTCTCATAAGGCTGATTAAATTTGCATGTAAATTAACCTTCTTGTCTTTCTGTTAAGATACACGCATAAAGGTGTTAGGTAAAAAAAAAATTCCACATCAGGGATATGATGTAATGTGAAGCGGTTAATATATCCTAGTTAACTCATAATTTATTGACTTAAGTTTTTGAGTAAAGGTAGATCCAACTGAATATGTTGACGGACTCAAACATGCATTCCCTCTCGATAATCTCCCCATATGAAGCCTGTAAACTTTTGAAGAAAAATGGTGACTTTTTTACTTTCTATCCTCATCACATGAAAAAAAAAAAAAGAAGAAAAAAAACTGGAAAATATAATGAACCTCAAAGCTTCATATCTTGTTTTACACTGTGCATGCTTGAAATGCCTTTCTCCTTAAGTATCCTCCAATGCTCTCCCAGAATCTTCCTCTCTAAGACATGAGTTGAAACAGTGACCAAAGGGGATTACGCCTTCTCTTTTTCTTTTGAAGCCGATGCTTTTCTAAAGTGAAGGGACTATAAGATGCCTATCCCATAATTGAAATGCTTAATGGTGCCATAGAGTCCCACACACTCCATCCCTAATTACTCAAACAGTCTCTCTCTCTCTCTCTCTCTCTCTCTCTCTCTCTCTCTCTCTCTCTGTGTGCAAGCTTTCTGTTGGAAACAACAATGGATTCATCCCGGCCAGAAATCGTGATCTTCGACGTAGAGACGGTCATGGAGAGTATCAAAGGAACAAAAGCCATCCTAGAATTCGGGGCCATAATCGTATGCCCACGAACGCTGGTCGAGAAAGAGTACTTCACTTCTCTGGTTCGGCCACAACATGACTCCGGCTTCGGAGGATTCCACGCACGAAGAAATGGACTCAACAGAGATGATATTGTTTCCTCCAACATCTTCTTTTCGGACATCGCTCACACCGTCTACGACATGCTTGACGGTATATACTCAACATCCCACGTCTTTTGTTCTTTATCTACTCATTATACTACATCATACCCATCGTTCCAACGGGTAATAGCAAGAAGGCGTACCCACCCTTTTCAACCTTAATAGTTCACCACATTATTCACGGCAAGCTTTCTTTTTCTCGCCAGTGCTTAAGTACGACGTTAAGCTTCCTTCTTTGTAGGAAGGATTTGGGTAGGCCACAACATCAAAAAGTTCGATCGTCGAATTGTTGAGGCTACGTTCCGTGAAATCTGGCAGTCACCACCGAAACCCTCGGGCATAGTCGACACGATGGAGTTGTGCGAGAGGTTTGAAAAGGAAGCTGGCAATAAAAAGGTCTATGAAGAACTTTTCCCATTTGGTGTGTAATCTAGGTGATGGAATGGGTGATCAAATGAAAGTCATCAAATGGACCGCCCATTTCATGAGTATGTCAAGATATGATGAGCGCAAAAATCAAGTGTATACTAGAGCAACATATAATTTTACGAAGTCTTATGTTGTAAGATTTTGTGCTAATTTGATGAAGGGTGGATCTTATATCTCATGTAATGCAAGCATCCACTACTTATACTTCTGCTCACCATGTATGTTGAGTTTAATTTGAGCAAAAAATCAAGTCTTTCATTGAGCGATATCTAGGTCCTTAATGTTCATAGAATAAACTGTTTTTCTTGTGATTTCTTTTAGTACACGCTTATATATGGACATACTTTACATGATGAAATACATACCATCAAAATTTGATTATGATAGAGGTTTTCCAAAAACCCTGAGTTTATGGTAGCTTTCCGATGTTAAATAAAAAACTTATCAAGCCCTTGCATGTCCTTAATCCTCCATATATGCTTGTCCAAAATGTTTATAAAAAATTTTCCTTAATTAATTAAAAATCGGAATCATGTATTGTTCTTCTTTTCCTTGTGCAGATGGCAACACTTGCAGAATACTTTGATCTCGGAAAGCAGACACATAGGTAGTTTTCTTTGTTATTGGGATTTTCGTTTTACATCAATAGTCCATCCAATAATTTGCTTTTTCTTTAATTTATGTACTTTCTTAATTCAAAATCCTTTTATATTTTGTTTGAATGATTTTACTAGAAGTTTATAGTGATCTCAGCTATACTCATATTAAGGTTCAGTGAGGAATTTCCCGTAGATTATTAACAAAAACGTTATTGGAGCAAGGGCTAGTTCTATGAAACATCAATTTTCATTTGGGTATAGACGAAAGCGGACTCAAAGTATAAGTATCTAGTGAATTAAATAGGGTGATATATATGCATCATGCATGAAAGTAAAGAATGGATTTTTATGATGATTGAAGTAGTTCATTTGTTTTGGGAAAAATTCTAAATAAGGGCCGAAGTGCTCTCGTTTTTTCAAATAAGAACTTGAAGTAGACATTGTCTCAAATAATGACATGAAGTGCCTTCATTTTCTCAAATAAGGGCCTAAAGTGGACTTTATTTCAAATAATGACCTGACCTTGCTATCTGAAAGGCATTTTCGTCCTTTACTTTTTTTGAATTTTTTTTCATTTTTCTGTTTTTTCTTTTCCTTTTCTTTTCTTTCTTCTTTTCCCTCTTTCCATCACCGGCGGAGGTCACCGGACTCAGATGAGGGCTGCCCTCGCCTAACGCAGGTGAGGGCAACCCTCGCTTGAACTGGTAAGGCCAAGGACAACCATCGCCCTCGCCTGGGTTGGCGAGCCACAAGAGGGCGAGGGCAGCTCTTGCCCGACGCTTGTGAGGGCGACCCTCGCCTGAGGCCGGCGAAGGTCACTAACGATGGCCAAGGGAGAGAAGAGGGAAAAAGGAAAAAAAAAAGGAAAAGAAAAAGAAAGTTAAAAAAGCAAAAAATTAAAAATATATACTTAAATTCTTTGACTAAAATACCCCTTCTCCGATGGCCAGAATAGTCACCGGCCGGCCAAAAATCTTTATTTGAGACAATTTGACCACTTCAAGCTCTTATTTGAGACTATTTAGCCACTTTAAACTCTTATTTGAGATGATGTCTATTTCAAGCGCTTATTTGAGAAAATTATGGCACTTTAGGTCCTTATTTGAAAATTTCTCTTTGTTTCGTGGAAAATGAACGATTTGTAAAACATTTTCCTAAAAATGATTGCTTATATCACTTGAAACAATTAACCAATAAAAAATATTTTTATTGTCGACTACAATTTATAACTAAATATTTTCATGGTCGATAAAAATGTTTATTGTTCATTCAACTTTTATAAGCGTTACAAGCGATCATTTTCAGGAAAATATTTTTTCAATTATTCATTTTTCGCAAAACAAACGCATCTTAATCGTGCTCTTACGTGATCACGAGTTGCATGCATTTTGAGTCGAGAAAAAAAAAATTAACCTAGTGATTCAAAACAAGAAGAGCAGTTCCATTGTGAGGTTAATTATATCCATTGATTGCCAGGACCTTAGATGATGTCCGGTTGAATCTCCGACTTTTCCTGCACTGTGCTGCGGTTTTCTACCTGGTAAATTATTCAAAGTTTATGTGTATACGTAAAACGGGTAACCGCATCTGCGACTCTCCAAACCTAATATTTTTGTCACTCTTTTCGGGTTATATATAGACAGAGTCCTCAAACCTTTTGCGGGCACAAGATGACAACACGAACAACAACGTTCCAAGGTTTCCAGACCCCGAGGAATTTTCAATTCCTTCGCTCAAAGATGACTCTTATGATTCCTTTGATAAAGTACGGGAGCCAATCTCTTGTGCTTCTCTGAAGGTGCGGTCCGGGATCGAAATGAAGTTCCGGGACGACGATGACTGCCCGAGGCTGAGCTTCGTGGTTGACTCGCCGGACATCCTGAGCACAAAGCTAGATGAATTCGACGGGATGTTGCAAAGGTTGTTTTCGAGTTTCAGGATCTACTCCGAGTGGAGAAACGTTGTGGATGGAAGATGGAACCCCCCCACTGTAAGATTACGGTAAGTTTTCAAACTTAGTATTCGTTACTAGATCACAGACACGATTGCTTAGATTATTTTATGAGCTGTACTGAATTTAATTTTGGTTATACTGGTATCTTCATTTTCCAACTAAATCTGGACAACTGATGCATTGCTCCAACTTTCGATAAGGTTGTAAGAATCAAGCACGTTGCAAGCATAATCCAGACCAAGAGACGGTCCAAAGTGTTTGTTACATCTCATTACATCTGTGCTTTGTCTATAGCAGCAAAAAAAGCAAAGAAAATTGGTCCTTACATCAGTTTCAGCCTGAATCGTTGTTTATTGTTTTTAGTAAAACTATCCGGGCCAGATTTTCGCTCATTATTATCCAAATTCTCTTATCACCGAAAATGGGGGAAAGAGGGTTTCTTCATACAAATCGCAGAGTCAAAAGTTCAAACCGATAGAATGAACTTGCGGTTTAAGATATAAAGTCTCCTTCCATAAGCCAGAATTGTTCCTAAAATCACAGCATGAAGATTAATTACAATTACAGAGGGTGATGCCGATGAGATGAGATCTGAACAGAAGACTAACTGCTCAAAATACCACATGAAATTCGAGTGGAAAGCTTTAAAATTGACACGACTTTGTTTTGCTTGAAAAATGCGTCGTTCAAAAGTTTAAACTGCCGGAAAAAAAAAGTTCGGGGGCCATAAATTATAACTAACACATGTATTTCATTTTCCTCTCTTGTGATTGAGTAGCATCACAAATACAGCAGACAAGCAGACAATAGTATGCAAGAGGGAGGATTCCGGGAAAACAAGAAGGCTTGTCTTCAATGAGAGCGAGCTCCGGACACTCCTCACTCCAAGCACCAAGTTGGATGCCTACTTGTTTGTGGAAACCTACAACAGTAGAGGATACGCAGGCATTACATTGGCGGCTTATAAGTTGATCATTCATCCCTAGATTCGGAAGCAAAAGCTACTTGCTTATTTTGTATAAGTTATATGCTCAGAGAAAGATTGTTAGTTGATTGCCAACTGACATCGGACATTGCCGACGACGTAAAAGACGGATGATATGCGTGACATGTTGTATCTTTGTAAAGATATTGAAAAGCATTGTGCGCAAAGTGTGTGTATCAGGGACTGCTGATATATTCACGCAAGCGAAGCTACTGATAACATTTTAAGATGTTGCAAAATATTCACCTGTTGAGATATTTCTCTCTATTACTCGACTTTGGTTGTAGTTTGATGTAAGTACTTCCTATGACAGAAGACAAGAGTGAAATAAAGTGGATCGAGGAATGGTTCTCGCATTTTTTGTCTTAGGTTTGGTTACGACAAAAGAATAACAGACTTCCTCTCTATCAAATCCTAGTTATTTCGGGCTCTTGTCTAGTCACTTTTTTTTACATTGATAAGGTTTTACTCAATGGTGAATAAGGCTCGAATAGGTTCGAAGGTTGAAGCAATTCACCCTTAAATGAATCAAGGTGAAATTTTGCTTGAAACTCTCATATTTCTTATGATTGGTGATACGGAAATAGACGAATACGGCGTGCTCATTTATATCTATGCATCATTTTATGATAATTATTATTGTTGTCGTCGTTGTCATCATTATTATTACTGCAAATAAGCACAGAACCTTGTCAATTAGAAATGGACTTAACTAGAAACCTTTTCTTGTGATAAAGCTTCATTCGTTTCTTTCACCTAGTGATTGGCAGGATGCCTTCCCCTTCTTTCCCGATTGCCCCCAACAGACAGTACAGACAGATCACATGACATCCTCGTGCAATTTCCATCTCCACGTTGATGCCAAACCAAAAGGAAAACGATGAACTGAAGATCCAAGTGGAATCGCCGCATTGCGAATTCACCGCAACTCCCACGTGCCTTTGTTTTAATCGACCGGCCCCCCAGAAAATTTGGCAAAAGATATTCTTCTCCAAACTCCACCACGAGCCGAAAGCAATGACACTCAGAAGCATATAACTTGTGTAAGCCCCAAAAGGGATAAAAACCAATTAAAATTCAAGATGCCATCGCCCTCCTCTTTCACTGTTGCCTACCCAAGTAGCAGTCACCCCTTCCCCCCCAGGCGCTCCCTCTTCGATCCCCGCCTCAAGCGAAGACGACCCAGTAGCCTCACCCTCGCCAAGACGCAGGCGGGCTTCGTCGAGACCTGTTTCCTCCTCGTCACCACCACGAGCAGCAGCGGCCGCGGCAGCGAGGAGCGAGAGCATCTGGGTAAGGGCCAAAACCATACCTTTCTCCAGAATCTCTACTCTTCCGTCGAGAGGGACGAATCCCAGGGCCAAAGCCCGGAGACCCAGGATCGGGAACGAGATCAAGATCCGTCCTTGGAACGAGGGGGGTACAAAAGGGCCAAGAAGCGCCGCAGGGGAATTTTCACAAGCATGTGGTGGGCGGACGTGAAGGCCGCGATTGGGCAGAGGATTAACTTGGAGGCGATCGTCTGCTCGGCTTCCGTGATTGCGAGGGACCGGCATCTGTTGCTGCCGCACGTCTCTGTCCCTGATATACGCTACATTGATTGGGCGGAGCTGCAGAGGAGGGGTTTCAAGGGCGTTGTGTTTGATAAGGACAATACCCTCACTGCGCCTTATTCGTTGAGGCTATGGGGCCCTAATGCTTCTTCGATAGACCAATGCAAATCGGTCTTCGGTCACAATATCGCGGTTTTTAGCAATTCTGCTGGTAGTGTTTGGTTGAAGCTCTTAAATTTGAAAGTCATTGTGTTGTTTATGGCTCGAGAATGTAATACGTTTGGCATTGTCTATGTCTTTGTTGAATTGGTGTTACAGGGTTACTGGAATATGACCATGATGGTTCGAAAGCGAAAGCACTCGAGTGGGCAATCGGGATAAAAGTTATAAGGCACAGTAAGTTATTTAGTATTTCAGTTTCGATCCTTTTTCAAGGGAACTTTTGCAAAAGGGTTTCTAGTATCCATGCTAAATGTCTCTGCCAATATCGATAGGTTGTGCAACTCTATGGAAAATTTTGGGATTTGCTTATAGAGCACTGATCGTCATGCTTATGTGATTGCCCTTGATATTCTTAACTAATCATACATTAAGATGGAAAGGAAACTCTTGCAAGCTCGTGACCGCCATCTCATCTGAGTCAATTGAGGATGAAAGCCTATCATAGGTTATTCTGTAGTCTTCAACATGCCTTAAGTTGTGGAGGATACCTAAGTAGTCATTTTACCCTAACCACCAAATGTAATCCCACATGGTTGTTAGTCGTAGAACAGGAGTAAATGGCTCCTAAATTGTCAAGGGGTTACATGAGTGTTGCTACAAGCAGAAAAGAATATATATAAATTCATGATCTAAATGTCTAGCAAGGGATCCAAATTTAAAGCTCTCTCACATGTGAGAAACTGATGTAGTTGTGGGGATGCAACATGGGAAAGCTAACTACTAATATTTTTGGTGGGAAGAATTTTCACGGTTGACATTTTTCTTACCCTATAATATCGAACTTTGCTAAATGGCGGGAGTACTATCCTTTTTCCAACAGAAGGATAAGCAAATTCTGGGGTTGAACCTGATAAGATAATCCTAACATTTTTGAGAAACCTAATAATGTTATTTCAATGTCTTTTAGCAACCTAGTGAGCTTTTACTTGACTCTAGCATGCATGTTGTTTCTCAATCAGTCAGTTTTCATGCATGGACAATCTTGGCAGTTAAAATAATTATAAAAGCACGGGACTAGAGATATAGTATGTCTATGTCCTTGGTGCTGGCTGTTTAGGAATTATTCTTTGTTTGACATACTTCATTTATCAGAATTTACACTTTTATATTTCAGCTCTCGGTTATTCTTCGCTATTCCATTTTTCTTTTTTTGTTGAATATGGGAGGAAAGGAATGTATACTTCCTGTTTTCTTATTAAGACTGTTTTCTTTGATGTCCTGATTTACTTATTTTGTGTAATTATTAGGAGTGAAGAAACCAGCTGGAAGTGCCGAAGAAATTGAAAACCACTTTGGCTGTGATTCGTCGCGCCTTATAATGGTAGTACACTTGAATTCCTCTTGATGTTGCTCTAGTTTCTTCCCTGTGAATGTTCCTAACTTGTCAATCTGTTTTTTAGGTGGGAGATCGTCCCTTCACAGATATTGTCTATGGAAATCGAAATGGATTTCTTACTATATTAACCCAGCCCTTTAGTCTTGCTGAAGAGCCATTTATCGTGAGACAGGTCAGTTAGTTTGTAGTTTGTACATTTTTTATTGATGCACTGTGCGTGCTTGCCACAAATTATAACCATTTCCAGCCAAGCCACATAGAGAAACTGAAAGATTGGATATGAAGTACAATAAAATAAAATTTTGGGTAGCAAATTTCATCTTAAAACTCTAAATGCTTACGCCCTTTTTCATTTTCATCTTAAAACTCTAAATGCTTATGCCCTTTTTATTACCCCTTGTCTAGAAAACACCTGTCCACGGGTTCTTTTGCTGCACGATTGATATTTTTCAGAAAGTTATGAGATTGCCATATGCTGGTATTCTCTTTATAATGTTGATATAAACCTTCTAGCTTATTATGCATGTAAGAGTAGTGGTGAATGTGAAATCAAATTATGGAAGGATATTTGGCAAAGAAGATTGTCATTTAAGCAGGTTCTAATCGCAGGAGAGACATCATCTCCTTCTAGACCTACTTTTTGCATCTCTGTTGAAAAAAATAAATGAAAGAATCACTAAGTTTTCTCCACTCAAGTTCATCCCTGATGTTCCATAGGTCCTTTTATATCTCTTGACTTTCCTTCCCCGTCATATAGTTGCATTTTGAGTTTTTGAAATATCCAGAATGCTAAAAAATGTTTCTCATCTCATCCTCAATATTACCGGACCAACATTACTGAAACGCAGTCATTGTAATCCTTTATATATTTGAGTGCGAATTGATTTGCTGAAGCAGTCTCATCATGCAACACTCATTTTTTCAACATTTTGGTACTTGCCACCTAGCATTTTGTGTGATAAAGCAATCACTTTTGTATCGTAAATTTCACCCTGTAGCTTTAGTGGGTGTGCTTATACTTTTCATCCATCTTGCTTGTATCACGTGGATGACTTCTCAATCAAGTTTTCATTCCTTTGCAAAATGGATCCAATAAAGCGGAATTATTTGTTCTTGGGTATTTTGATGTCCCCATTTCTCTACTGCTTCGTTTGAATCTTTTCTTTTATTAATCTTGTAATCCGCGCCAACCACTTCTGAACCAACTAAATTGAATTTTGACATTATTTTCTTGTTCACAATTGCTGATGAATGAGAGTCTGGTGACAAGCTTGAACTTAGTCTAAAGATTGAACTTTAGGAGACTGCAAGCAGACAAATGACAAAAATAGCTTTCGACCCAAAAGTCAAGAGGTAAAAACTAATGTAGGCCCAGACAACATGCTGTCCTTGTGTACCATTGCATGGCTTCGGCATGCTAAGGGCAAAAAACATTGGGTCTGTCGCACAAATGACGCAATTTCTAAGGGGTATAATTTGAATCTGTTAAGCCAGATTTGGGTGCCCACCCAGCGGGAGGGTTAATAAGGTTCTGTGAAAAACATAAAAGTAAAGGTTTTTACTGTGCTCTCTTGATTGCTTCATGGAAATGATTTTCTCTGGAATGCTCAGCATGTAATAGATATTTTCTGCTGCTCTGTTTTTGCGTCAACAAATTTGCAGGTAAGGAAACTGGAGAATACCCTTGTCAACCATTGGCTTAGGGGAGGAGTGAAGCCGACAAGTAACGGATTGCTTCCAGATGGCTCTCATTGTGTGAAAGAACCTACATCCTTGTAAAAATCTTTTGTAAATACAGGCAATCCTTTGTTTCGTTGCTAAATATTGAGGTTCCTGTAGTTAATTCAACGTGATTGCTGCATGGAAATGCATCTTTTTCCTTGTAGCTAAATTTTGTTAGGTTGTCCAATATCTGAATCCAAAAAATTAGTGCCAGAAAGAGGTAGCGTAGATAAAAATTCTTGTTCTTCTCAATTTCGTTATTTACAGAAATAAATGTGCAAAATCTGTGTGGACACTTTCTCGCTATTTATTGAACAAAATGGGCACGGTTAGAGAACCCTGTTATGGTGTCAAATGCCTGGATTTGTAGGGAATGTTGGTTACTTTCCAATGAATTTGAACTGTTTAATTGACCATCATGCCGGCGAATGAATCATTATTTACTTGAAATCAGTCTAAAGAATTCACCGAGGCATGCGTCTTGGTCTCTGTTGTGCCACGTGATTTGTCTGCCTTCAGGTCGAGCGCTTTCCCTGGATAGTAAAACGAGGTGCGTTCTTTGATATTCAATGCGAATCGGCACGCGGTACAGATTCCGCATTAGCTCCCACGTACATCTCAAAAGTAAGCAATGGGCACTCCAAATTTCAACCAAAATCCTGAAGCTTGACTTCTGTAACTCCTGTTCCATCCAAACACTTGGTTTCATCGGTGTTGCAACTTAATCTATTCAAGGGCTTTTCTATTGTTCCATGGGGCTGGGCAACCATGTCGGTTCAACCTAGGCATTGGCTGGAACAAGCTCAATCGATACAGTCCTAGGCATGTTCTCTTGCTAATCGGTTTGGCATCGGGTTCCTAGAACATATTTAGCACATTTTGTTGTAGTACTGGTTATAACATTATAGATCCATTACAAATTGAGTGTCTGTTACAGTGTTTGCTTGCAGTAACAACTATTAGCGTAATCTCTATTATAAGCAAGACTGTATTAGCTTTTGCAGTAACAACAATAGGTATTACATTACAATCTCATTCCATTACTACAACCAAACGGGCTAATTGTATTTTTGGTCATACTTCTCAACATGTGACTCAACGTCACGCAATTTCCAGTGAGTTGCAATAGTATAGTATTCATATTGTCATCTTGATGCTAGTGGGATTCGAAAGAGATAAGAGACGAGAAGACGCTAAAATCGAGTCATCTTGATGCTAGGGTCGGCCTCCTCGATGGCCCGAGATCGGCTACAGGCGATGGTCGGCGAGGACTGACCTCGCCCAACGAGCGAGGCTCGCCTCTCATGGGCTATGTCGAACGAGGTTGGCGAGGTTACCTCACTGGTATCTAGCAAGGGTCAACCTCGCTGGTCTCGCCAGAGGCCGGCGAGGAGGCCTTTGCCTAGCCTCACCCAAAGCTGGCGAGGTCGGCCCTCGCCTGTGGCCGATTGCAAGCCATTGAGGAGGCTGGCAATTGCGGAGGAAGAAAGAAAAAGAAAGAAAGAAAGAAAATAAAATAAAATAAATTACTAAAAGAATTCAAAATTTTTCATAAAATATTTAATGTATGAGCAAAATGCGATAGTCGTTAACGAGTTTTTATAATCGAGTTGGGATAAGGTAAAGTCTTGTGATTGCTTGACGCCAATATTTTGACCTTTCATAAATATGGGTTATCTATCCTTAACGGTCAAAGCGAACCAAATCCCTGACTGACCAATTCCTCTCGCGTTATTTTCTATAATGGATTCCCCCAAATTCGAGTTCAAACAAACCACTGAGAATTCAAGTTTTGAAGTCCCGTGGATTCTTTACTGAAGAACATTGGTATTAGATAGGAGTCGAGGCATTGTTTGGGGTCCGTCGTCCTTTTTAGCTTTGGGTTTTGTGCGGCTCTTGCTCAGTTCAATCGTACGTGCCTTCTGTTTTGTCTTCTTGTTGAGGATTCGTAAACAATTGAAAAATTTAGGACTGAATTTGACATAAATACAATAAATTTAGGACTTAATTAGTAATTCTCTCTCGAGCATTAGATCATTTCACGGGTGCTAAACTTAGGATGACTAAAGTGTTAAATCGCCTGTCGCCACATCGTGTCGCCTCTCGAACTCACATACGACACGGGACGCACATTGTTCGATAATCGAGATGAATCGAATGGCATCCGACTCGGACAACTGAATGTGGTCGTGCATGCACATGCTGCGCAAGTGCAATCCGAGAAAATATTAGGTGGTCCGGGACCGCCAAGCCAGCGTGGTCCCGGACCACTCATGAAGCGCCACGTGGTCCACGTGGCACTTGTGGGGGCGGCTCGCCCGGATGGAAATTTTGCACAAAAAAATAATATTCATTATTTATCCTTAGCCCTGCGAGAAAATATTAGGTGGTCCGGGATCGCCAAGCCAGCGTGGTCCCGGACCACTCATGAAGCGCCACGTGGTCCCAAACCTTGGCTTCGTCGGAGAGGGGGGAGCAACGAGGAAGCCGAGCGAAATTTGAGAGCGAAATCGCAGAGATTCAAAATAAATTTGAAAGCCAAAGAGGAAAGAGCGGTGGGTTTTCCTCTTCGATGCGAAAACGAAGGAGGAGAAGAGAGAGAAGAAATAAATGCGTGCAGAGGAGAGAGAGAGAGAGAGAGAGAGGGGCTAGCGTGCAGGGCTAAGGAGAAATAATGAATATTTTTTTTTGTGCAAAATTTCCATCCGGGCGAGCCGGCCCCCACAAGCGCCACGTGGACCACGTGGCGCTTCATGAGTGGTCCGGGACCACGTTGGCTTGGCGGTCTCGCACCAATAAATATTTTCTCGTACTTTAGATATTTGTGGAAGCCACGCGTTCTTCTGTCCATCACCGATAGTTCACCGTGCAAAATGTACCTTCGACTCTTTTATCCTGGTCGAAAGATTTACGCCATTGTCCTGCTCATTTTCATTTTATTCAGAAAAAGCCGTACCTTGGTAAATAACTAACAAGCTTAAATGTGGCGGCGTTACATGATAGATTTGAGACAGCTGCGAAAGAAAATTATCCAAAAAGTTATAAATTTATTACACTTTTATTAATTCGATCTTCAACTTTTTAATTATGTCAATTGAGTATTAAATATTTTCACGTTTTGTCAATTGAGTCATAAATATTTTCATATTTTGCCAATTAAATCTATCTGATCAATTTTGGCCGGAAGTCGTTGACGTCGATGCCGGTCACCTACGTGGCACAGTCGATGCTGACATGGATAATTTTTAATAGTTTTTAATGCTTTTTTTTCTTTTCTTCTCTTCTTCTTCTTTTTTTTTTTTTTAACTATGGCCAACGAGGGTCACCGGTTATCGCCGGGCTTTGTCGATGGCCAGTGGAGGTCGCTAACATCAGGCGAGGACCACCCTAGCCCAATCTAGCGAAGGTTTCCCTCACCAGCCTAGGTGAGTGTCGCCCTTGCTGACCTGACGAGGGCAAACCCTCGCCTGATTCGGCGAAGGGTTGCCCTCGCCAGTCCCAGACCAGGTGTCCCTCACCCGAGACCAGCGACCTTCGCTAGCCATCGACGAGGCTCAACAAACGGAAAGGGGAAAAAGAAAAAAGACAAGAAGAGAAAAGGACAAAAAGAAAAGAAGGAAAAGAGAAGAAAATAAACAAATAAATATTAAAATATTATTAAAAATTATCCACGTCAACGTCGGTTGTCCTACGCCACCATACCACATAGAACGACCGGCATCCATGTCAGTAATTTTGAGACGTACTCAATTAGCAAAATATGAAAATATTTATGACTCAATTTACACAATTAAAAGGTTTATGACTGAATTTGCAAAAGTGCAACAGGTTTATGACTTTTTGGACAATTTTCTCGACAAGTTTATCCTACATTGCAAATTAAATTCATCTCGCCAAATGTCGTACAACAAAGTTACGAGTAGTAGTTAGAGAGTCCAAACAACAATTACCCGGCATCGATGAGATGGGAGAAGAGCGAACGAACGAACGAGGGTTTTGCCATCGGTTGCTTCCGAATGCGATTCGATTTCATGCATTTTGAGGAGGGTGATTGAGATTTCAAAACCAAGATGCAAGTCTTGTTGGGGTGGCATTTACTGTGCCCTCCTAAAAGTGACCACTGAAAGATGTGTGCTGAGTTAGGAAAGGGGCAACACTGTTCTTCACACAGTCACCCACTGAATTGAATTGGAATTTAGCCTATAAATGCACATATTTAGTCAAAAAATATAAAAAAAAGTAAAAAGTAAAAAAGACATGTGTTTATGGCAATTGACCCAAGACCCTTCAAATAAATTCAATTTTCTGTCTATAAAAAAAGGAAAATTTAAAAACTGCTCCAACTCATTGAAGTCTTATTAACTCCTGTTCTTTACAAGCCTCACCAACTCCTCTGTCACTGCCATTACATCTCCACAGCTCCCACATGACCTTCCATGCCAAGAACAGGAAGACCACCAAGCTTTTCCTTAGCTATTCACTCAATATTTTAACTATTTAAATGACATTTCTGACTACACTACTGTTCACTAGAAAGAGCAAGTACCTTAAACGAGACAGAAATCATTGAAGGGGTCTTGAATGGGGCTCTTCAACCACCACCAAAAAACACCATCTTTTGGATGAGTGATGATGATGCTCTTGGTATTAGAAGCCCCATAAGAAAGAGCTTACAGAATTATTTAGTTCCTATCATTCTTTTTTCATAAAAGAAGAATGTAAAAAAACAATTGAGAAGATGGAATTTTCAGAAAATTTGGAGCAGACGCAGTGAGGAAACTCCCAAGATTTTTGCCTTTCATTGGAGAATGTCAAGTCTGAAAATGTTTGCATCCTTCATTCCCGTAACCTTGCCTCAAGGCGACAGGTGAAGTTTTAGTGATTCATGTCACGATCACGCCACTTCAATTGTCGAATGCCGATGATAATTCTCACTGGATGCTCCTCACCTCGAGAGTAATTCAACTAAACGGAAAGTGTGGTTTACTAGTGAAACACTCTGAAGGAAGTGAAATCGGATATTCCCCGGTTGATGATCAGGTGGTCAACACAAAATCTTCCAGATTAGTCATGAGGGTGATGTTTTAGGACCACCTAGGTTTTCTTATAGTGACGGTCCTAATGTGCCGTACAAGGTGGTGGTTGGGGGGCTCAGAACTACAGTTGCATTTTCGCATGTTTATCGGTACAAACTCGAATATTAATCTACTTATGCTCCTACCAACATACTCTACACTATATCAATCACGTAATTAAGCACATTTAAGATAGTGAATCACCTGAATTTGGCTCTGTTATAGGAAGTTTGACAAGGACCCAAGTGTTGTTCCACGTCTAGACCATGTTCTGAATGATATTTAACCTAAAGTGTCCGTGAGATTTTTTTTTTGCCATTTATTGCAGCTATGTCTAGCATGTAGGATATGCTTGGATCTATCATAGTTTATATATATCTGCATAAACTATACAGTGGACTTTTCTATCAATAGTACATTATGGAAGTTGGATTTAATAAATGTTAATAATGCCATCAAGTCGATGACGTCATTCAGGTGCAATCAGCAATCGCCTCCATGATGTTAATTCGATCGACGTTACCAGCAACTAAACACTTCTTGCTGAAAACAAACAGAAGTGTTTAGTTGGGAAGGGAGGGAAGTTGTCAATATATCTCCATTTTTCTTTTCTTGGATTCATACCCCCAAACCATCTTGACTCAAAGCCTTGCGTATATGAACTGAAAAACAAGCACGAAGATTCACAAAGTAACTCCTTCCAGATGGTGCAATCGATGATATTACGGTCAACGTGTAGAGTAGATGCTTGTAAGATAACATGTCACGATGTATGTTCGAGCCCGAACTGCTAAAACTAAATTGTCCAACCGACATCGGTTAAAGAAAACTGAAGAACATTGAACATGAGGGACACGGAGAGAATTGAATGGAGCGAAAGCTAACAGCGATAGCTGTTGCATTCCACACAACACTTTGCATGCTGTGTTGCAAGCTAAGAACACTTCAAAACACACACAGAAACCCACTCTCGATCATGAAGAGAGTGTAATGAACATTAAAGTCACGCATAAATGCGCTCTGCAACGCATCAACTAACCTCATCGTCGAACCTGCTTCTATTTACTGAGACTCTCTCTCTCTCTCTCTCTCTCTGGTCTCGACTCTTTATATTTACCCGCTCCCCTTCCCAAGCCTCTCTCATCACTCTCAAGTGGGTGGTTTCTCTTCTTTTTCAAGCTCTCTCTTTCTCGTTGATCTCTTCGCGTGTTGTCAGAGAGAGCGAGAGAGAGGAGAGGAATCAAAGAAAAAGATGACGAAACAGAAAGGCCGGAGCCTGAGCCTCTTCATATGCCTTTGCGTTGTGGTGGTGGCTCAGAACTTGGTCGTTCCTGCGGCGAGTGAGGCCAGCTTCGAGGACAAGAAGAACTACTACACTCCTGACCCTCGCATTGGCACTCCTCCTACAGGTCTCTCTCCCTCTCTCTCTCTCCAGTACACTTTGCATAGACGAGGCTTTACATGCTACTGATGAACATATCTTCGATCTTTTTGGAGCTATTTCCTTGCATGAAGCTTTCGACGTATGATTTGCTGGTTAAGACTGATATACGACGGTTCGTGTTATTAAGAAAGATGCTCTTCACCCCCCACGCAGTTCGTTTCTTCTTTTTCAACTATTCGTCACCTCTCATTATATAAGACTGTTCATGTTATTTGTCCCTCGTGTCATTTTCCATTTGAATGGATGTTTACGTGACACGTTAGAGCTTTTTAAGTTTAAGTATTCTGACTTTGTTTTCTATTGCACCAAATGATTCGATAAAAAAGGAGAGTTCAGAATCCTAATGTTTTGACTTATGGTGGCCGCAGTTCCCCGCGTAAGTCCACCCCGCCGGACTTCGCCGCCGCGCGGGCACGTAGGCACGCCGCCCTACCATGTGACCCCCACACCACCAACCGGAAACTGCGGAAACCCGCCGCCCGTCCCGACGCCATCAACTCCTCGCGGCGGTGGCGGATCTTACTATAACCCACCCCCATCAACTCCTGGCGGCGGCGGATCTTACTATAACCCGCCCCCATCAACTCCTGGTGGTGGTGGTGGCGGCGGCGGATCTTACTCTAACCCCCCGACTTCAGGTGGCACTCCACCAACTCCGGTGACTGTCTCCCCACCGACCACCCCCATTATTATTCCGGGTACCCCCAGCGCTCCCACCATTCCTACGCCCCCGTTTGATCCGAGCTCGGATCCCTTCACCGGGACATGCAAGTAAGTTTGCAACCTCGGGACGACGTTTATTAAATGCATGCATAGTGTATTGCTGACATGAAGACATGATTTCGTTATGTCGAATCAAACATTACCAGAAAAATTGAGTTAACCAAGTGAAATTTGGAATTTTCAATTTCTATTTCGGTTAGAGAAACCTATAAGCGTTCTCTCTTTACTTTGGATTTGTCAAATTACCTAAATTGGAAAGTAACCAAACGTCTAGGATTTGATATTACTCTCTGAACCAAAAGGACGACACCTAAATTGCGTACACAGACACTAACATTTTTCATGGCATTTACGAAAAATTTAGCTTCTGGAGGACCCACCCTACGGTGATCTGGGGCTTGGTAGGGTGGTGGGCCACCGTGGGCGGCACGTTCGGCATCACCAGCATGCCCGGTTTCCCGGCGAACCTCAACTTGATGCAAGCGCTCTCCAACACCCGGAACGATGGCCTGGGCCAGCTTTACAGAGAAGGAACAGCTTCGTTCCTCAACTCCATGGTCAAAACCCGGTTCCCTTACACCACCCACCAGGTCAGAGAGCACTTCACCACGGCGGTTGGCTCGAACTTGTCTGCGGCAGCTCAGGCCCGTCTCTTCCGGCTCGCCAATGAAGGGCATATGAAGCCCAGGGATTGAAATGAACCATAGCTGTGGAAAGACCTTTCTTTGATGTTTCTATGAAGGATTGTTGTATCAGCAGTTTGTGCGTCAATTTGTGGTTTTTTTGTGGATTGTTGGTTTGCTTTAAGCTTTATTTCGGGTGTTATAGAGCACTGAGATGGAAAGTTTGTGGACATTTTTAATGCTTAATGAATGTTTTTTCTTCCAATTCGAGGATTGCAAATATCATTGTGTTCTCTCCCTCAAAACTTCAAATTCTATACACCTAGATCTGCTCCTGCCAACAGTAATTCTTCATCAAGTAGTGTCTTCTTCTCCAACAACATTCTCTGTCCTTCCAAATTATGTACTAATCAAACAGTGAGTTGCTCGTCTTTGGGTCGGTTTGAGAATGGCTTTGCCAAGCCACTTTGTGCATCCAAAGCCCTTTGCACTAAAATTTAGTGTTTGGGAAATTTTTTAGAGACCCCGTTAAGAAAAGTTGGCTTTTTGAAAGCTAAAAGCCCAAGGCAACCTCCTACTTGCCTTGGCATTTCTGCATTCTCGGCATGCTGTAGGGATAATAATGAATTTTTTTTATTGCCTTTATCGCCCTTATAGATTTATTTAATTTCCACTTTAACCCTTCTTTTGTTAGAAACCCTAGAAGCAGCGGTCACGCTAACCCCTTACACTCTGCTCGTTTCGTCTCTCTCTCTCTGGTTGCTCTCTATTCACCGTTTTCTTCTCTTATGCTCGCCTCTTGGTGGTCTCTCTCTTCGCTCAGAACCAAGTCGCTCGCCTTGCCATGCTCGCCTCTGTCTTCGCTCGGAACCCAGATGCTCGTCTCACCTCGAATCCAGGTTATTTTGCTTCAATTCCTTCTCGTAGTGTTTTTTCTAGCTGTGATTGTTAAGTTGCTCGCCTCACTCGTGCTCGCCTCTCTCTTGGTGGCCTCTCTCTTCGCTCGGAACCGAGTTGCTCGCCTCGCCGTGCTCGCCTCTATCTTCGCTCAGAACCCAATTGCTCATCTCACCTCGAATCCAGGTTCTTTTGCTTCGATTCCTTCTCGTAGTGTTTTTTCTAACTATGATTGTTTAGTCTTTTGCCTCACTTGAAATGCCATGTTTATGCAAGATAGAAGTCTTTGTGGTTTTTTCGGTTGCAGATGAAAGCTAGCAAATTCTTGAGGCTAGGGGGCCAGGGTTCGGTTGCTGGTAGCTTTACGAGTTTGCTCATATTATGGCAAGTCGAGAGTAAATTTGTTCCTGTTCTCATTTGTGGCTCTACAGGATGGTCAGATGGATTGAGCTAACTTAGTGATAAGGTTAACAGTTTTTCTCAAAGTGTTTGGCTGTCCTGGTTAGTCAATTATTAAGTCAGCAGCGAAGGGGTTCATTTGCTTAATCTCTTTAGTAATGGAAGAGTGTGGATTCTATGCAACTATGAAAGAGAAGATATTGTGGTTAATTCTTGTTTGCTTTTCTGAAGTTATGCTTCAGCAGCGCCAATGCTGGTTCTTTTGAGTTACTTGGGTTTCTTATGTGCAGTAGGAACAACGTCTACAAAGGTTTCGTCGGTCATTCCATATGCAAAGGAAAGGCAGCTCTGACAGTGGAGCCCAGATCTCCAGAATTCACTTCCTTAGATGTACGTTAGAGACTCTTTCTTCTTCTTATATATCCAAAAAGTCCTGAGATGTTAGTTTATGACCTGTTGAAGTTTTGGGTTAAATGCTGTAGTCAGGGGCATATAAACTGTCTAGGGAAGGATTTGTGCTGCTTCAATTTGCCCATGCGGCTGGCACGCGAGTATATGATTGGAGCAGAAAGCAGGTAATGTATTCATCATTGCGTCTCTATGACAAGGAATATGGTTTCTTGTTCTGCTACATTTTAGATTGTCTCGGCAGTAAAATGTCTCTCCCTCTTTATGTTTCCTTCTATTTTTCGTGTTTTCCATTTTGGGGATGCGGCATCGGTTTTATTAAAAGCCTAAGGCCCTGAGCTGTTTAATTTGGGCTTAAGATTCTATGCTTCCCTGTTCTTTAAGGGTGCGTTTGGCAACCATTCTATTCCCGAAAACTGATTCTGCTCAGAAATGATTTTTTTTTATTTCGTGCCCGGAAATAATTTCTAAGCATTTGAAAGCGTTTGGTAAATACCCAAAATTTCTATTCTTGGAATAGAAAAAGAACAGAAATGCGTTTGATAACTGCATAAAATTTCTTTTTATTAATAATATTTTAATAGTATTTTGAATTTTTTTAATATTTCTTTTTTTTCTTCCCCTTCCCCTTCCCCTTCCTTGGACATGGCCAAGTCGCCGACGCCGGCGACCAGTCACAGGCCAGGGCTTCCAGGGCATCGTGGCCCTCGCTGGCTCCGGCGAGGACTGGACCCTCGCCACCTGGGTGAGGGTCGCCCACGCCAGATCCGGAAAGGGCGGCCCTCGCCTAGGCGGCGAGGGTCCAGCCCTCACCCTCGCCGATGAGGACCGCAACGCCCTCGTGGACCGATGAGGACCGCAACGCCCTCGTCGACCCCTAGCCACAGGCCAAGAAGAAGAAGAAGAAGAGGAAGAACACCAAGAAGAAGAAAAAAAAAATTCCATTTCTGATTCTTCTTCCCATAATCAAGTTACTTTTTTTTGTTTCTTGATTTTGTTCCAAAACTGATTCTGGGAACAAATTTTTGTAAATTTGTGCCCGGGAACAAAAAATTTACTAAACGGATTTTTATTCCAAAACTGATTCTGGGAACAAAAGAATAGAAATAATTACTATTTGGCCGGTTGCCAAACGCACCCTAAATACCATTATGCTATTCTTCTTTTGGCCTGCTTTTTTCCTGAATGGGTTTCACTTTCTGTAAAGACTTTTTGTAGTTACTTGGGGTGCGAATGATAAACATTCTGTTCCAAAAACAATTCCTGGAATAGAAATAGATTTTTCTATTTCTGCTCCCAGGACGAGTTTTTGAGGAAAGAAACCCATTTGATAACGACCAAAAATTTCTATTTCTGGAACAGAAACCCATTTGATAACAGCATAAAATTTCTATTTCTTGAAACATAAACCCATTTGATAACAACACAAATTTCTATTTTCCGGAACATAAATCTATTTTTTTTAGAAATGGTCTCTAAAATGAAAATCAATCAAAACACCCAAACCCTAATAAAGCCCCAAAGGCTTATTCATTCAAAGGATTGTGTTGTTTTTTAGGGTTTTAGGATTTTTTAGGGGTAAAGACCCCTTTTGGGAGTTAAACCCCTTTTAGGGTTTTTTAGGGGTTAAAACCCCTTTTAAATCCCTAAACTAAGAAGTCTTCAAAAATATCATTTGGGCACCTTAAAAAATTTAAATTTCACTCAAAGTGGGTGGCCATAAGTATTCTAAGCCATTTTGTGAAGTTTTTGAAAGTTTTGATTTTTGATTTTTTTTGAAAAAATTCACCAAATTTCCTAATTTCCTGAAATCTGAATTTTTTATTTTCTAGAAATTTTTATGAATTTTCTGGAATTTTTCAATTTTTATGGATTTTCTGAAAAGTAAAATTTGAGATTTTTAGGAAATTTTCGGATTTTCTAAATTTTTATGAATTTTATGAATTTTTGGATTTTTTTCTGATTTTTCTGAATTTTCTAAATTTTCTAAATTTTCTATGATTTTTCTAAAGTTTTTTTAGAATTTTTTTATTTTCCCGTCAGGAATGAACCGGACCAAACCGGCTCGAATCAGTCTAACCAGGATAGACTAGGGCTAAATTTAGGAAGAGATGTGTTTTGAAGAGAGAAGACATGTTCTTTTAGAAATGGTTTTTATTTCTCGTCTAGAAACAGAGAACCTACTCTTTTTTTGTTCTGATTTTTGGTGCAGAACTAGTTCTGAAACAAAAAGTTGTTCCAGAAATAGAAAAATGGAATTGCATAACCAAACGGGTTTATATTTCAAATCTGTTCCCGGGAATAGAAAACTAGTTATGGATAGAAACACAATGGTTATCATGCATGCCCTTATATACACGGTTACAAGTGGTTTTTGAAGGTAGCAAAGGACTGTATTCTTGCATATGGAACTGTTGCTGCAAATTCTCATCATGTGACTGATCACTTAGCTGCCACCAAATCACATTTAGTTGGAGTCGGGCAACCCTTTTTAATAACAAAAATAGTGATCTGATTTTGACAAATGATGCAGCTTCCCCGACTTGATTGGTGGTTTGGGGTGTTTGGCCATTCCTTCTTACCTTTTTATTGCACTCCTTAGGCCTCAAGAACATGCAGGAACAATTGGAAATATCATTTGCCAGAATTTCGACAAAGTCCTACACCTTCAGGTTATCGGGAGGTATTCAACCGTCATCATTCCTCACTAAGATAAAAAAATTGAGCGAGCCTTTGGTGATCTGAAGAAGAAGTGGAAGATTCTAACGCATATACCAAGTTATTCATTTGAGAAGCAAGTGAAAATTGTTATAACAGCAATGACCTTGCACAATTATATACGAAGAAACGCTGTCAATGATAAACATTTTGCAAGAGTAGATTTGCATCATAATTATGGATATTCAGTTGATCTTGATGATGTGAATGATGGGACTAGTGCTTCAAATGATAATTTATTTTCTAACATGACACGTATACATGATCAAATAGCCATGAGTTTAGTAAATACTTAATGATGCTTGTAAATTTCAATGATAATCTATTTTTTTCCTCAATGCATATGTGACAATGTTTATTATAATTAAATTACTCTCTTTTTGCAAAGATGTGGTTTATTTATTTAATAATTTGTTAATATATCTCTTTTACATTACTCTAAACGTGAAAAAATAAAAGTTGCAGTCATTATTTTTTTTCAATTTTAAACAAATTAAAATTAAAAAACTTAAATTGATTAAACCAAAGGACTTCCTCAAATATATATTTTCCTAATAGTATTTCCCCAAAGTTGCTTTACAAGGCATTTTTCAATTACAGTATACCAAACAGTCTTTGCATTTCACCAAAACCCTTTAAACTAAAGGCCTTTGCTTTTCTCCAAAAGCTTTCCCCAAAAGCCTTCCCAAACGCAGCCTTTCTTTTAGGGGTGAACAAGATGAATCGCCCAAATTGGGACCGGACCAACCGGTTTGGTCCGGTTTTCAGGAATATTGGTCCGGTTCCCGGTTCCTAAAAGTGGAATCAATTTTTGGGCGGTCCAGTTCCCGGTTCTAGGGTAGGAACCGGACCAGACCGGATCAATAAATATATATTTTTTAATTTTTTCATATATATAATATTTAATATACGTATGAAAAATATTTAATATTGGGCCCATTGGAACCGATTGTTCAATTTTTTCATTTATTATATATTTTTTCAATTTTTTTCATGGCCTGATGAGATCAAATCAGAACTACAAATGAAAGAACGAAACAATCGGTTCTCGATTCACAAATAATATTTATTATTGATCCCATTGAAACCAGACTGGACCGGACCGGACCGATGGTCCCAAGATTAGCCGGTCCGGTCTCCGGTCCTAGAAACTGCGAACCGGTCCTCCCGGTCCAGTTTTCGATTCTTGATTTGAATCGGACCGGATCGGAAATCTCTCACCCTTACTTTCTTTATCTGACTAGTTATGAGCATACTGATACAGCAAAATAATTACAGCCTGAAAGTACCATCGTGCTAGTTACACGAAAGATGAATCTGCTAGAAAATCAGAAATGTCTCTTCGACTAGAGTCCATGGATGACAGTAAGATCTCAACCAAATGCCTTCTTACGGACTGATAAATTCAACAGTCAAGTCATAATGAAAGTTAGGCACGAATGACAACCATTCTGTTCGCAGAACGAGTTTCTAAGAAAAGAAACCCGTTTGATAACATCCAAAAATTTCTATTTCTGAAACAGAAACCCGTTTGATAACAGCATAAAATTTCTATTTCCTGAAACAGAAACCCGTTTGATAATAACACAAATTTCTATTTCCCGGAACAGAAATCCATTTTTTTAGAACCCATTTTAGGGGTTAAACCCCTTTTAGGGTTTTTTAAAGGTTAAAATCCCTTTTAAATACCTAAACTAAGGAGTCTTCAAAAATACCATTTGGGCACCTCAAAAAATTTAAATTTCACTCAAAGTGGGTGGCCACAGGTATTCTAAACCATCCTGTGAAGTTTTGAAATTTTTTATTTTTGATTTTTTTTTGAAAAAATTCACCAAATTTCTTATTTTCCCGAAATCTGACTTTTTTTTATTTTTTGGAAATTTTTATGAATTTTTCTGGAATTTTTCAATTTTTATGGATTTTGTGAAATTTTTTTTTGAGATTTTTAGAAATTTTTCGGATTTTCTAATTTTTTTATGAATTTCCCGAATTTTTCTGATTTTTCTAATTTTTTTAGAATTTTTTTTTATTTTCCCGTCGGGAAGGTACCGGACCGAACCAGTTCAAATCGGTCTGACCTGATCAGACTTGGGCCAAATTTAAGAAGAGAAGTATTTTGAAGAGAGAAAATAGATTCTTTTAGAAATGGTTTTCATTTCTCGTCCAGAAACAGAAAACATACTTTTTTTTTGTTCTGATTTTTGGTTCAGAACCAGTTCTGGAACAAAAAGTTGTTCCAGAAATAGAAAAATGGAATTGCGTTACCAAATAGGTTTCTGTTCCAAACCTGTTTCCGGAAATAGAAAACTAGTTCTAGAGAGAAACAGAATGGTTATCATTCGCGCCCTTAGTATGTACGTAAAGAAGGACAACTGCCATTCTGCTTCCAGCATTGCAGAGAAAAAAATTACGACAGTTTATAAAGCTTTTTTTTTTTTTGCCGAAATATACTTTTACTGAGAATGAGACAACTTCAAACATTTAAGCCAATTTGGAGGTAATACTTTCTGCCTTTCTACCTTTGGGCTTTAGCGATCCAATCTGCTACACGGTTAGACTCTCTTGTTCAATGGGCCAGGGTCAAATGCTTAATTCCACTACGCGGTTGGACTCTCTTGGCGCGGTAATTCATGTTGACGACAGGACAGGAATTTAAGGAATTTTGTAGGTGATTACTGTCCTGTCTTGCGATCTTTTAGACAACTGCAAGGTCAGAATCTAATTGCTAAACAAGATGTTCACAAGGAACTCAATCAGATTTACCAACATAGAGCTAGTGATTCAAAAGACCTCTTGTTGATGCTTCTTTCAATTACCCATCTTTGATGAGATAAAAATTGAATATAAGTTCACAAAACTATGTATTATATCACAGTTCATGTCTCTGGAAAGACTACCATCCAATTCTTGGCGTGTATGACCCCCTCAAGAGAAGTTATCAGCTTACAAAGTCAAGTGCTAAGAGGACTAATCTGTTCAGATATGAACAGGCTAGACCAAGAAAGTTAGTTGAACAAAGGGATGTACCGCATAGGCAGCTACCACGAAAAACAAAACAAAACATCAGTTGATCACCATATGATTCACAGCATCTGATTTCACATTCAGCATCACTTTTCACCCAACAGAGGAGAAATTTGCATGCGTTCCAGTTGTCGTGGTCGGGAACTGATCAATTATGCATTCCTTTCCAGTCAGTGTCCAGTGCCGATACTTCATGTTTCTACACACCGTAAACTCAACAAGGAAACTTATGCGTCTGTTTCTATTTTCAGGCCAAGGTCTGTACGGAGCTGTATGAATGAGAAGCAATCGGGGGTGAGCATACATTAGATACTTCGGCACCAATGCAAAGCTCATCCCTATCAAAAGGAAAAAATCGCTGCCACAATCAGCTCATGTGAGACTCAAACCACTTAAATATCTGCTCGGACTGCAAGCTCGTCATTTCATGATATGCAAATGCAAGGTTCAACTCCTCCTGGACATGATTAACCAGTTGCCTATCCAGCAATATATTCTTATTCTCCTGGAGAGCCTTCTTCCAGTGAGTAGCACGCCCATCACTCTTCATATACCCATTTGCATCTATGAAGCCCTTACTACGAAACAGCTCAAATAACTTGGCTGAGACATTTTCATCTACACCGGGAATTCTATCAGCAAAAGTACTCGCCGACAAAGGAAACTCCACACATTCAACTGCAGCAACATCGATCCCCTTACTCTTCAAAACTGGCATGAATTCATCTATCTTCTGCTGTCTATTGGTGTCCTTGGGCATGTGAACAAATAGGGAGGGCGGATAATCCTCTGGTACATCCATCTGATCAAACATCCCCTCGGCAATCATCAGCACAATGCTACTAAACCTCAAATTTGACGCGAGGGCAGAAACAAAGTAACCACCAGAGGATGCCCCTAAAGCCACAAGAGGAAGTTTTTCGAGCTTGTTCTTCCCAACCCACCATCGAACGATATCTCTAACAATTAACCTTTCCTTTCCCATTGTCCAGCATCTTCCCGCGCTGGAGACGGTGAGGACAGCAAAATTCCTAGAAAGACCTTCGAGAACAAGTAGTCTTTCTTCAGGCAAGCCAACGCATTGCTGGCAAGTAGGAGATCTGTCCCAAAAATTAATAGCTTTGCCATTACACCCGTGAGCTATAAACAGCACCGCTTTTGGAGAATCGGGTATCTGCGATATCAAATCTGTCCCATTCCTGAACTCCACAACTGGGCGAAACTGAACCGAGGACTCAAACCTATTCCATCTTTGCCTCAGATGTGCCAGTACTGGCACCGGCTTTTTATCACCACCCCGGTAGAGCATAACCAGAACTAAAAGAATCAGAGCGGCAGACGTAACCAGAGCCGGAATGCTAAAGTTATGAATGCCGAACCATTGTTTCGATCTGCCTCCGCGCTTCAACATCACTGCATGGCAAAATGAGACGATTACATCGAAATGAATTCCTGAAAGCCAATGACTCACGTCTACGACTCCATTCCACATAAATTCTTCTTTTCCTCATTCTTTTCCTTTGGAATGATTCCCCGTGCTTAGGAGACAGAGATCGAAGGACCCCATTACGCTATAGATCACACAAGTCCCTTCCTCAAATAAACCATAATTCATCATCAATATCAACCTCTCTACAATCTCCATGCGAAAGACTGAACTTTGAACTTAAGAACAAGATACAACCTCTCTCTTCAATGGTGGGTATCTGACCAAAAAGCAAATGAAATTCAAGATCGCCGCTTTCACTTCCAATCTAAAGGGCTCAGCTTTTTTCTCTAGAACGCAAGTCAATTCACTCGAAAAAAACACCAAAAAAAACAAGAAAAACGCAGGTGCCCATCAGATTGAACAAGCAACATGTAAACTTACCAGGATAAAGGGAGGAAAACAGCGGCGAAAATAGGAGGAAACGAAAGAGCTTCCTTCCTTCGGCTTCAATGGCGACACTGAAGGGAGCCTGCGATCCGCATGCACGCGCACGCGCCCCTCCTTTCCGCGAGTGAAAGGTTGTTTCTCCAGATGAAAAATGGGGAATTGGGCTGAGATTGATCGACATCGCGGCCCAAACTGAATGGGCCTCCGTAGACCACGCGGACCCGGGCTCGCATTTGGGCCCAATTCTCGACCCGGGAACGGTTCGATGCAACAAGTTCCCGAATTACAACAATGATCCAAGTTTGATCGAAAGCAGACCTGTCAAACGGGTGGATCGTATCGAAAATTATCTGGCCTAAATTGGCCCATTTTAATCCGTTTTCGTGTAATACAAATCTAGGAACATGTACCCGACCCGACCCATATTGTTAAAACACTTTTTTATTTAACCCAAACTAAGGTGAAACTATGAAGTAAGCGGGCGCGAGATCGAGACAGAATGAAGAGAGATTCGTGGAAGTAAGCTGGGTCTAAATAAGTTGTGAACTCATTTAACACTCATATTAAACTCATTTATAGCATGGGTCTAAATCTATTTACGATCAATTTATTGAATAAAACTAACTCATATAATAACCAAACCCATCAAATATGGGTAAAAAGAATAGATTTATGACCCATTTTGTCTAAGCGCGAGTGCAACATATACTGAAAAATGATTATTGAAATGCCATCGTCCCATCATTCCTGCCATTCATGTCAACAACGCTACGTTACCAATCCCGACGGCCCGAGTACGCGAAATGCCTCGAGAACATCCCGGATCGAGTAAAAACCCGAACGCAAAATCCAAGCGGATCACATGTTTCACCCGACGAGTTCGAGTGGAGCGAACCGAACCGGAACCGATTTTCGATTTCAATGATGTGCGGCGACTGGGGGGGTCCCCATCTTATAGGAAATTAAATTGGACATAAATTTTTGGTCCGCATCTTTAGGTGGAGGTAATAAATTGATAATTCAGAAGAATTGTGGTTGGCAGGGGAGGCCATCATGTGATGTAAAGGGATTCTGCTCGTGTTGTCCGTGTGATGCCCATGTGACCTAAGTGAATTCCAAATCAGAGCATTAGATCCCCCATAGCTTTCAGCATCAAATGCCAAAGGTACATTCAAAGAGAAAAATCAATAAAAGTTGAATGAAAAATAATGATCATAATGATAATTATAGTGTAGATTTAAATTTTTTTTAAAAATTCATAGTACATAGCGGGTAGGTTGCATTATTTTGATATGGACCACGTCTTCTTCTTTCCTAACAATGTTAATCATAAATCCATTTGTCGCAATTAGTGCAGTGAGAACGAGAGGGAATGGTTTTTGATGACATTAAACTTTGAAAAAAAAAATGAAAAGGTACGCGTTACGCATTTCTAATGCGCAAATTCGAGAGATTTGAGGTACTTCGAAACAATTAAATTGCCCGCACAGTTAATCAACTAGAGGGTACAATGCATTCCAACAAAAATAAATGGTTAAATAAATAACGGGTGATCAACATTTCTTATTATACGATCGAATGAATGGACAGATGAAGCGATAATTTGCAAAGACCAGAAATTTGCGGGTAAGCACTTCGATTTTTTCTCAATCACAAACACCCGAAAATTTTCACAAATATTACAAACGTCGACACGTCGTACGGTTTTTCCCATAATTTTTTGAAATTCGATGGAAAAAAAACGAAAAATATTTCCTCGTCATGCATGGCTCGATGCACCTACCCAAAAATTCTTGGCATCGAACCGAACAACTATTGCATCGGTAGAGAGTACTTAAGAGTACCAAACAAGGCTCATCAATGTAGGTTTAAAACGGACAAGTAAACTAATGGACGGACATTAAACAAAGAGGGGAATGTTCAAAAACCACAGCACCCAAGGGGGGACAGCGATTATTAGCAGAAGTTCTCCCATGTGATGCTCGCATAACCCATAACATCCCACATAAACAAAAATACATAATTAATCCTCGATTTAATACAATCAATTAAATTTAATCCCCCATTAATTAATTTAATAAAGCAAAAAAAATTTAAAAACAATAGAGCTAAAAACTCCAGGACTTGGGCATGACTTGGATACAAGGAAATTAACAAAAAAGTCATAAACCTATTACACATTTGCCAATTCAGTTCCAGACCTTTTAATTGTGCCAATTGAGTCATAAACATTTTCACGTTTTGCCAATTGAGTCCATCCGGCCAATTTTGACAAGAAATCGCTGACGTGAATATTCTATGTGGCACGGTCGGCGTTGACGTGGACATTTCTTAATAATATTTTAATATTTTCCCAACTTATTATTATTATTTTCTTTTTTCTTTTTCCTTATTTAATTTTTTTTGTTAAGGCTGATAGGGCTGCTGACCACCGATTGAGGCCCGGCGACCCTCGACGACCGTGAGCGAGGGCTGGGAAGCCCTCACCAACATCAAGGGGAGGGTCGTGCATGTATGACGGTCGTGCCACGTAGAATAGCCAGCGTCCACGTTTGCGATTTCCGATCAAAATTGGCCGGATGGACTCAATTGACAAAACGTGAAATTGTTTAGAACTCAATTGGCACGATTAAAAAGTTTTATGACTAAATCCTCAAAAATGCAATCAGGTTATGACTTTTTAGACAATTTTCTTCTTGGACGGAGGTTAAGGTCTCCGTATGCCGACGTGGCGGGATCCCATTGGCCCACGCCGCGCCCCTCTCGAGGAACCGCCAGCAGGGGATTAATCAAGCCGTCGCTAATTAAAAAAAGAAGAAGAAGAGAAACGAGAGGTTAAGGATCATTTAATTAAAGAACCTAATTAAAGGAAGCAATTAGCGACGCATATTTATAAATAGCCAGTGTAACTACCTTCCATTTCCTCCCACAGTCGCTCGCAGATCTCTCCGTCCTTCTCCTCCTCCTCCCTCCCCCCCTCTCTCTCTCTCTCTCTCTCTCTTCCTTCCCGTCGCCATTGTTGCCGAGCTGTAAGCTGCGGGATCGCCATTGCCGGATTTGCCCCCTCCCCCCTCGTCGCGGGCCCTCGCCGGCGGATTCCTGTAAGTCGCCGTTCTCCCTCCGTTCTTCGTCGTCTGATGAGTTCGGTTCCTGCAAATGTATCGATCGAAGGGCCACCAGATCTCGCGGTGGATGATGATGGGGTGATCCGTGCTTCGGAGTCGCGCGATGATCTGATGAGCTCTCGCGCAATGCGCTCTGCCGTTTTCTTTTGTTTTGGTTTTTGGTTTGGTTTGGCATTGATGGATGTGATCATGCTGAATTGTTGCGGATGTCGAAGGGGGAAGGGCGAGGGTTGCGTTTTGAGATCTGGTTCGTTCCAGGCTCAGATCTGGCGATGTGTTGTCACGCCTTGCCGGTTGGCGGTGTGATCTGGCGTTCTTGTCGAGGAGAAACGGGGCTGGTCGGACCGGTTTGCTGCGGAAGCGTTTGTTAATGATCGGTTTTAACGCGGATTTGGTCTTTACGTTGCCGTTTTGAGTTTCGCTGCCTCGTTTCCTCGTAGTTTCATAGCACAGAGATGACTCTGCGTGCTTCTCTTACATGGGATCGTTCCTGTGGTTTTTCTCTGCTCTGTGTTTCTTCTTCACATTCTATTGGAGATGTATTTGCTCACCGATGATCTCTTGTTTGTTTTCGTATTGCCACGTGAAGCATCATCTCGGCTTTTTTTTTTTCTTTCTTTTTTTGCGGTGAAAATGACTTCTTGAAAGATCATTCTTCTGTGTGTATGTGTGGGAACGATGTGGATTCGTAGAATGGAGTATAGAAGGGCTGAAATTTTTTACTATATTAAGGGGAGATCTGGAATGCACATTTGGGAAAATGAATGCACAAATTTACGTTTAAATATCTTCTTTAGATGGAAGCCAAGTGACCAACATTAATATGACTTAGGGAGTTTGCTGCTGGCCCTCTAGATAGCCTTTTGTATATATCTTCAATCTAATAGTTCATTTTCATATCCCTTTGCTTTTGAGATTGTCTTTCCAAAGGGACCAGATATCTGGTGCCTACACAAGTTAAAAAAAAATGAATGATGACATGGTACATCCTCTACTCTAAAGTTCCAGCCAAAGTATCCCAAAACTGCATATGGGAGTTTGCAAAGGAAGCTAGGGAAGTTGCAGAGTGACAGAAACTTGTTAATTCTGTCTTTCCATTTTTGGTTCATGAACTTTATGGCACCAACAGATCAAGAGTGAAAAGATTCAGTTAAATTTTCTGAAATGTTCGTGAAGTTTTGACATTTCTTTTGAATTTGATGTAAAAATGACATATCCACTGCCTTCTGCTTCGATTTAGGTAATTTTGCTTAATTCATTACCTTCAACTTTCAGTCTCACTCTGTAATTTTGTTGACACGTGTACAGAGTCTTTCACTATGGCTACAGCATACACACCAAAGAACATTCTCATAACTGGAGCTGCAGGATTTATTGCATCCCACGTCTGCAACCGGCTTATTCGGAACTACCCTGATTATAAGATTGTGGTCCTTGACAAGCTTGATTATTGTTCAAATCTGAAAAACCTGCTTCCATCCCGATCCTCTTCAAAATTCAAGTTCATCAAGGGGGACATTGCCAGTGCTGATCTTGTCAATTTCATCCTCCTTACTGAGTCCATTGACACTATTATGCACTTTGCAGCTCAGACCCATGTGGACAACTCTTTTGGTAACAGCTTTGAGTTCACCAAAAATAACATTTATGGAACCCATGTCCTTTTAGAGGCCTGCAAAGTCACTGGCCAGATCAGGAGGTTCATCCATGTAAGCACAGATGAAGTTTATGGGGAGACTGACGAGGATGCTGTGGTCGGTAATCATGAGGCTTCTCAACTTCTCCCGACAAACCCATATTCTGCCACAAAAGCTGGTGCAGAAATGCTTGTTATGGCTTATGGGCGATCATATGGGCTGCCTGTCATCACTACCAGAGGGAACAACGTCTATGGTCCCAATCAATTTCCTGAGAAGTTGATTCCAAAATTTATCTTACTTGCCATGAAAGGACAGCCCCTTCCAATTCATGGGGATGGATCGAATGTACGTAGTTATCTCTACTGCGAGGATGTTGCAGAGGCATTTGAAGTGATTCTCCACAAGGGTGAAGTGGGTCATGTCTACAACATTGGGACTAAGAAGGAGAGGAGAGTAATTGATGTGGCAAAGGAAATCTGCAAACTTTTTAAGATGGACCCTGATACGCACATTAAGTTTGTGGAGAACAGGCCCTTCAATGACCAGAGATACTTCCTAGATGATCAAAGGTTGAAGAACTTGGGATGGTTTGAACGGACCACGTGGGAGGAGGGCCTAAGAAAGACAATGGAGTGGTACGTTAGCAATCCAGAATGGTGGGGAGATGTTTCTGGAGCACTGCTTCCTCATCCTAGAATGCTCATGGTCCCGGGGATCGAAAGAAAATTTGATGGGCCGGATGTTAACAACTCTTCCTCATATGCGGTGGATAATCATACTCCGAATGGGATGGTGGTTCGAGCTCCGAAGAGCAGTCCCTCTGCTCAAAAGCCCGCTTTGAAGTTCTTGATTTATGGCAGAACTGGTTGGATTGGTGGCCTACTGGGGAAGATCTGTGAGAAGCAAGGAATTCTATATGAGTATGGAAAGGGACGACTGGAGAACCGTGCACAGATCTTGGCGGATATTCAGACTGTAAAGCCCACGCATGTATTCAATGCTGCTGGAGTGACTGGTAGACCAAATGTCGATTGGTGTGAAACTCACAAACCTGAGACAATTCGGACGAATGTCGCCGGCACGCTAACCTTGGCCGATGTCTGCAGAGAGCATGGGCTCCTAATGATGAATTATGCTACTGGGTGCATATTTGAGTATGACGAAACACACCCATTGGGGTCAGGCATCGGTTATAAAGAGGAAGACAAGCCAAATTTCATCGGTTCCTTCTATTCTAAAACCAAAGCCATGGTAACTCCTTTTCGCATTTAGAAAAGCTCACTCTGATTACTCATCTAATGCGATTGGCTAAGCATGTCAACTAATCTAACCTTTTTTCATTTTCGTGCCAGGTTGAAGAGCTTTTGAAGGAATATGACAATGTTTGCACTCTTAGAGTGCGAATGCCAATATCTTCTGATTTGAGCAATGCGCGTAACTTCATCACAAAGATTTCGCGGTACAACAAGGTGGTCAACATCCCAAATAGCATGACCATCTTGGATGAACTTTTGCCGATTTCAGTTGAGATGGCCAAGAGGAACTTGAGGGGTATATGGAACTTCACGAATCCAGGGGTGGTTAGCCACAACGAGATCTTGGAGATGTATAAGGCCTACATCGACCCTGATTTCAAGTGGGTCAACTTCACGTTGGAAGAGCAGGCCAAGGTGATTGTCGCGCCACGAAGCAACAACGAGATGGATGCGTCGAAGCTGAAGAAGGAATTCCCCGAGTTATTATCCATTAAGGACTCACTCATAAAGTATGTCTTTGAACCCAATAAGAGAACGTCTGTCGCTTGAGGGGCAATTAGGCCATGAAGAATGTAGCTGTCAGGAATTCTTTTGGACTGGAAGCATTCATCAAGCTGAAGCTTGAATCGTTCCTGCTATTATTTTCTCTAGGGTGATTGTAGGATTGTACGTGTTTATTTTCTCAAGCGCATGACCTTAATTCTATCATTCTATAGTATTTATTCCATTTGATCCTTTTATATTTCGTGAAGCCAACTGCAGGCTAGAGGATGTACTTTTTTGCGAATTTCAATTTGTCTAGAATTCACGAAGAAGTGTGTAATAGCCTTCTGTCGTTCATATTTGTTGCGAGTCAGTACATTCAGCCTTGTGTAAGAACACATTTGTGATGCATTTATCGTTTCGCCACTGCTAGAGGTGGCAAAATGGAATCCATATTTTTGTTCATATTTAATGGTGTGCGTGTTGACACCATAGCCTCAAACCGGTTGCGACAGTGGGTCATAAATAGGTAGGCTTAAGTTTTAAAAACAATCTTAAATGTGTCATAAATGATTTACTTAACAAGCTTAAGTGAATAATAAATACGTCATTTTTAAATTTTTTAAAGGAAAAATTGCAAATAAAGGCATAAAGTGTCGGCATTTTCTCAAATAAGGGCATAAAGTGGACCTTGTGTCAAATAAGAGCCTGAAGTGCCTCATTTTCTTAAATAAGGGCCTAAAGTAACTATAACAATTTCAAATAAAGGCTTCACCCCGTCGGCTGGCCAAATTTTCCGGCCGATCAATGGCATTTTCGTCTAAAAACAATTTTAATATAAATTTTAGTTAAATTAAATTAAAAAAAAACAAGGGGGAGGGCCAGAGACAAGGGCCTAGTGGCCCTCGCAAGAACTAGAAGAGGGCAGCGACCCTCTCCCAGATCTGGGCGAAGGTCGCCGGCCCTCACCCTAGTTCGATCCTCGCCCAGACCAAGGCAAGGGCTGGCAAGCCTCGCCAGATCTAAAGCAAGGGCCATCGGGCCCTAGTCGTTGAGGATCGCCGGCCCTAGCTGCTGCCCCACCGGTGATGGGGCGGCGGCCACATGTAGGAGGGTTGGCTAGCCAACCCCTTGTTTTTTCTTTTTCTAAATTTTAGCTTTTTTTAGTTTGTTTTTTGTGGAAAAAAACACAAAAAGAAAGAAAAAAAGGAAAAAAATTAAAAGACGAAAATGTCCTTGACTCCAGTGAAGTTAGGCCCTTTGTTGAGACAGAGATGACTACTTTAAACTCTTATTTGAGACAAGATTCACTTCAGGCCCTTATTTGAAAAAATGAAGACATTTCATATCCTTATCTGACATAAGGTTCACTTTAGGTCCTTATTTGAGAAAATAAGAGCACTGCAAACCCTTATTTGAAATTTTTCCTTTTTTAAAATTTTTTTATGAATTTTTAAATATTTTTTATTTTGGTTTTCCTTCTTCCTCGGTTGGTGGCCGACCATGGCGACGGCTGGCGACTAGCCACAGGTGAGGGACAAGCTTGTCGGTCTAGCGGCCTTGCCGACCTCTGGCGAGCTCGTCCCTCCCTAGTGGCCAATCATCGGCTATTACCGTGGCCACCGACCGGCTGAAGAAGAAGGACAAAGAAAAGAAAAGAATAAAATTAAAATTTTGATTTTAAAAAATAAAAATAAAATAGAAAAAATGAAAAACAATAATTATTAAAATGAGTGCACAGAGGAAAATCAATTTAGATTTTCCATACTAAACAACGGAAAAATATTTTCTAGTTCATTTTCAGGTTTCAGCCGAATACAGGAAAATATTATTATTTTCCAAAATGACTTTCCACAAAACATTTTCTAGAAATTTCACATTTTCCTCGAAACAAACGGAGTCTCAATTTTTTTAGAAAAATGATTTTTATTGAATGGAAGTATTTTAGCAACATAATTTTTTTTTAAAAATCATAAGAAACAAGTTTTTCTAGATTTGGTTAAATATGGAAGTGTTTTAGCATTATAGGTCGGATCGGATATGGATCGAGAAAATTTACATTATGAATAAATGAGTCATAATAAGTTAATGAGTCAATTTGAATCGGATTATTTATGATCTGATCCACCCGTTTGACAAGTCCAATCTCTGCCGAGTAGACTGTCTGGCTGTGATCAATTTCTGGAACAGCCAAGACGGTGGTCGATAGACCCCACAAGCCTCTTGATGCATAGTGAGTACTGAGTAGGTGGCCTTTGTGGCTCTAGCTCAGTTGGTGGTTGGTAGAAATAGTGGTCAATACTAGAATGGCCAGCATGCAATGTTCGGAGTTATTGCCGAGGAATGTCCGGTCAAAGACGGCCCATAAATAGCCCCGGTGTATGCTCGATCACGTACACAGACTAAACCAACCGGAAGAAAGCCTACAGTCGTCTTGCCTTGTAAAACCCAAGTAACAATGGTAAAAATTCGAGCTAATTACTCAAATGATCCCTAAAACGTTGGCTTTAGGTGCAATGTCATCCATGAATTTTAGTATGTTCAATGTGATATCTGAGTTTTAGCCAAATGTGTAATATGGTACCTGAATTTTTAATTTGTTTGATATTATCCAGAACTTATGGTAAATATTTAATCTAGACCCTAAATTATATGAAAATATCCAATATTATCTTTCCATTAATTCAAGCTCACGCGTAACTTATTTTTTTTGCTGACCGTTCAAACGAACCGGATTGGAAGTCAAATCAACAAATTCCGTCAACTTGAATTAATTGAAGAACACCATTAAAGATACTAAATTGAACATGTACTTAAAGTTCGGGAATCATATTGAATAAATTATAACTTTATGATGACATTGCACATTAGACTAAAGTTCATAGATCAAATTGGACATATTAAATGTTCAGACACAACATTATACACCATCTGTATCATTTTTTCCTAAAATTTAAGCTGTTCTTGGTTCCAATCAGTGTCCCACCCTCATATTCTCATTCGTCCACTTTCACCGCCGCGGCCATCACCAATGATCAAATTCTCATGTGGACAATCATCACCAGTCATTTTTGCTTGCTTACACCGCGAAACAATTGCCTGCTTAAAACTCTTCAACCGGGCGTGTATTTGTCCATGTATGAGCACGGGGCCGGAGGAAATTGTAGTACTCTAAAATGTCCTCTCTAGGAGAGTGATTGTCAAGGATAATGACTAGTTTCTGAAACGAGGATTATAACGAGTTCCGAAAAAAGTTCAATATCGTGTGCATACCGGGAAAATTGTTTAAAAAGTCTTAAACTTATTGCACTTTTGCCAATTCAGTCCTAAACTTTTCAATTTTAATAATTAAGTCCATCTGGCCAATTTTGGTTGGAAAGTACTGACGTGGGGCGATGATGTGGACAATTTTAATAACATTTTAATATTTTTTGAATTTTTTTATTTTTCTTTTCCATTCTTTTTCTCCTTTTTTTTCCTCCCCTTCTTCCTCCTCCAGCCAGCTATAGGGGGAGGGCCGGCAACACTGGCAAGGGTGAAGTCGGCCCCACCCGATTTGGCAAGGTCGAGCCTTACCCAACGACAGCAAGGTCAACCTCACCCAGCCATGATGAGGCCGCCCTCGCTAGACATGGCTGGGTGAGGTTGGCCTCACAATATCTGCAAGGTCAAGCCTCGCCTAGCGACGGTGAAGCTCACCCTCGCCAGTGGCCAGCGGGGGCAAGGCTCGCCCAAGGTCGATGAGATCGACCTCACCGGCCCTCTCCTTTGGCCGATTGCCAACACTCGGCGATTGGCTAGAGGAGGAAGGAGGGGAGGAAAAAAAAGGAAAAAAAAAAAGAAAAAGAGAAAAAAGGAAATAGAATAGAAAAAAAATAAAAAAATTTCGAAAATATTAAAATATTATTAAAAATTGTTCACATTAGCGACACGTAGGCCTAGCCGGTGTCCACGTCAGCAATTTCTAGCCAAAATTAGCCGGATGGACTCAATTGGAGGTTTATGACTCAATTGGCAAAGTTGAAAGGTTTATAACTGAATTGGCAAAAGTGCAATAGGTTTAAAATTGTTTGGACAATTTTACTTGTGGATACCCATTATGTGATAGTTAAAAAAGATATATTTAACATGATTATTCGTATATGACCGAACAAGCCATATAACGTAGGGGTGTGCATGGTCCGGGTGGGCGGTTCCCACCCCGGAACCGTGGACCGCCCGCTACAGGACCGGTTCCAAAAATTGGAACTGAGAACCGCCCGTCGGTTCCATGGACTCGCCCGAGAACCGGACCGCCGGTCCGGTCCGGTTCTTGGACGAGTCCATGGAACCGGTCTCAACAAGTTTTCCTAAACAAATAAAAAAAAAATCTGTGAACCAACATCGGATCAACATAACAAAAGGAAAAGAACATAACTTTTCATACAATTCCTACACTATGATCAATTATATTAACCACATCATCCATAAATCAAGTGGGTACCCATTAATTATTGAGAAAAATGACCAAGGTATCCCAACTACACAAGAGCTTTAGACATGATAACAAATTTTCTTCTTTTTTTAAATTTTTTTTGGTCAGATTTTTTTAATTAAAAATTAAAAAAATAAAATATATTATTATTATATTACCGGTCCGGTCCGGGTGGGCGGGCGGACGGTTCCACACCTGGAACCGGGAACCGGCCCAAACAGTACCGGTTCCAAAAAATTGGAACCGGGAACCGGACCGGTTCCCTTGGGAACCACCGGTTCCGGTCCGGTTCCGGGCGGTCCGGGCGGGTCCCGGTTCTTTTGCACACCCCTAATATAACGTAACCCACCCATGGGTAGCTCAGTTGGTTAGGGCGTACTTGGGATTGTGTGTTTAGGCGCATTGGTCCCAGGTTCGATTCTCCAGTTGAGCACTTGTGATTTAAGTGGGGGGCCATGGCGGTAGGTTGCTGTGCTAGTCTCCCCCGAGGAATAGTCGAGGTGCGCGCAAGCTGGCCCGGACACCTCGATTACAAAAAAAAAAAATTCATATAACTTGATAGACCATATATATTTAGCAAGTAAATGATATAAATATGCTCTAAGTGAGAAGATACCACAATAGTGCAAATACTGCATATTGATGCAGCGGATATCATTAAAAGAAACTTAGGCTTTGTTTGTTTCTCGGATAATGAATGGTTCGGAAAACATTTTACAAAAAATTACCGTTTGTGTCGCTTGCGATAATTAGCTAATGAAAAATGTTTTCATTATCGACAACAATTTATGTCTAAATGTTTTCGTGGACAATGTAAATATTTTTCGTTTATTCATTTTTCTAAGTAATATGAGCGATCACTTTTAGGAAAATGTTTTCCGAATCATTCATCTTCCGCGAAATAAACAGAGTCTTATAGAGCACGATAGCAAGTAATTAATCGAACAAATAAATATTATCATCGGATCATCGAAATATTAAACATATCATTTTATAAACCTATAATCCTAACACTAAATATCTTTCACAAAGATGATCTTCATCACCTTATAGCCTAGTTCTTGGATTTTAAGTTAGTTTTTGAAAGAGAGATGAACACTTTATGGATTTTGACGAACATTAGGAGATGAAAGGGGTGAAGAACGTCTATTTGCCCCACCAACTCCCGAAGAAGTAGATTCCGAGGTTCATCTTACTGGCCATGAAAGGACACGCCCTTCCGATCCACAGGCGCGGATCGAATTTGCGCAGTTATCTCTACTGCGAGGATGTGGCGGAGGCATCCGGAGCTATTCTCCGCAAGGGCGAAGCAGGTCGTCTGTTATGACATAGCGGCTAAGGAGGGAGAGGAGGGTAATCCAATGTGACGAAGTTTGAGGTGGATTCCAACTGCGCGGATAAAACTCGTGGTGAACGGGCCTTTCAACGACCAGAGTTGCCTGATGATCGAAGGTCTGAAGAACTTGGGATGGTTCGAACTTTGAACGGACTGCTAAGGAGGAATGTGGAGTGGTGTGTTGGCAATCCAGATTGGTGGGGAGATGTTTCTGGAGCACTGCTTCCTCGTCCTAGAATGCTCATGGTTGGCAGTCCCATCTGCTCAAAAGCCAGCTCTGAAGAGAAATTTTACAGTTTGAGGGGTGGCAAACTAGGCTCCTTAAAGGCATTCATGAACCCGATTCCGCATCAGTTCCCGCTATTCTCTTGGAATCAAGTAGATTTGTGTTGAAACCCCGAAGTTGGGCTGGTTTGATGCCTCTTCTTAGCTGGACTTGTCATCGGTGTTAAGAGTATGTCAGGTAGCTGTTCATTAGTTGCGAGGTCAGGAGTAGACTGCAAATTGAATTCAGGTGCCATAGCGGCACCTCAGCATGAACAATTCACGGAGTCTTCTTCTTAGGCGGGCCGTGATTCGTTTCCAATCCCGCTTCAAGTTGATATACAAGCTTGTAATGTACTTATCAATGGATGCACATATAACAATGGCTGTGATGCGCATCACAATGCAATAAAAACATCAAAGCAATGCTCATCGTCCCTCGTAATAAAATGATCACAAGGCAATGAGATATTGAGTATTCCCCTTGCTTGCACTTGCCATGGCTTCTGCCTAATAAACATGAATATTCATTTTCCATGAACCTGAACTTAGCACATATTACGCTTCCGCACTTCCTGCACACAACCGGCACCCAAACAGGGTGATCACGTACTAGGATTTAGATTATCTTGTCCTTGGATTTTCTTCATCATCATTTTCTCTTGTATTTGTCAAGTGCATGACCTTAATTCTATGATTTTGCAGTGTTTATTCCACTTAATGGCATCTTAGGCTTGTTGTTTTCCCAAGTCTGGTGACGGCTTCAAAGTTAACTGCTTCGTGAACGTAACTACTTGCTAGAGGAATGTTATTTTTCTTTTTTTGTGAATTTCGATCATTATTTGTCTAAATTTTATGAAGAAGCGTAATGACCCATCCGTCGTTACATCTATCAAATTCCTTCTCAGCCAATCGTGCTTTTAGTTTTGCGTGGTAAAGGAGATGTGAAGCATTTGTCAGCCAAGACAGATCGGCAGTTGGGACTGAACAACCGCCCCGACACCACCAGTCGTCAGTCACTACAGTCACAACTAATACCGGATAACCATTGCCAAGATCATCGGTTCGCCTTCATCAGTAACAGTGACACACCACCGTTACGACCGTCACTAATGATCATACTTTTGCATCAAACATTATAAACAGTCATTTTGCTTTCTTATACTGCGAACGGGCGCAAGGCATGCAAAAATGCGACATCCTACAATGTTTTCTGGAGAATGATTTCGAGATAAAATCATTTTCCATTAGTCCAAGCGTATATGAAAGAGGGAGGGAGGGAAGGAGGGAGGGAGAGAGAGAGAGATCTTAAGTAATATATAAACATTGCAATAACCCTTGTACAACACAAGATTCATCAATAGAGTTTGAAGAGTGATGAAGAGAAATTTCAGAGAGTACTTCCTTTGTTTAGGCGAAGCTCGTCATGTGAGTCTCTCCCCATTTCATTAATTCCTCTTTCAACTAACTCTAGCATATTAGAAAGCATAATCTAAAGTGCCAATACGTCCAGTTGCCAGTGCTACGTATTAACTGCACCCACAAAGGAAAAAGTAACTAATTATATGATAATTCAGAAAAGGAACGTGATTAGTGATAAGACTATGATTAGAATAAATAAATGATGAGCATAGTTAAATAATGGTCACAACTGTTCTTGACATCTTCACCTCCATAACCTAAACCTATAGTTTTCAGCACCTTTGTCCCCTTTTACATGTTGAAGCTACGATCCCATATGGCATTGGAGATAAATACTCAATCTATTTTGTTCCCAGTTCAAATTATTCATTGACAACTCTTTCTAAACAAAAGAGGAAAAAGAAGCACGCCCAATCATTAGCTGGTGCGCAACTATGATCCCGTAATTTCTTTGATGTGGTTACGTTTATACAGTGTTTTGATCACAAGATGATGAGTCCGTTGCCTGGTTATTTATCCTTTTGGGAACAAATTCAATTTCCCTAACGAAAATATTCTTTTTCTAATTTTGTAGGGGATTAATCATATATAAGCGTGATTGATTGGCATGTTCACAGAAACGCAAATAGGTAGAAAGTTTTGCTAGTAATACTGGAGTTGAATAGGAAGAAAAACGGGAGTGTACCTGAGCTTAAATTAGACGAGTTGGAGGGCAGTGTGGTTGGATCGAGAATAAGGTTGGTGATTTGGATCCAGGACGTTGACCGGCAGGAAGTTGCGATCGTATGCAGGCTGAGATGGTAGCGGCTCGTACACCGACGACGATCCCGCCATGTTGAAGTGATGATCACTTCCTTGCTGCTGCTGCTGCTGATGTTGTGCCCTCTCATTCTCAGCTATCTATATATCATCACAAACACAGAATTTGGTCTACTCATTGTCCATGTCCGAGTTCTAATAATTGCATCAGTTTTTTTATGATTATCCACAGCTCAAGTTATCCGCGCCTTTGCATATTTGTGACATAGCTCAACAAATCACATCTCTTCATCGTGACATAGCTATGCCTGTTATAACCATTTGGATTTTGGATTATAATATCTTGAGAGATACGATTAGTTTGGTAATATCACGTCCATATGACAAGTTATGTACGCATGTGAATGCTTGGGCAGAGAGAGAGAGAGAGAGAGAGAGAGAGAGAGAGAGAGAGAGAGATATACCTTTGCTCTCAGATACATGTTATCATTTTGCAGCTCAATTTCCTGCACAAGGCCCTTAAGTAGCTTGGAATGAGAAGATAAGCAAACGGTCGAAATAATTAAGCATGCAACAAAAAATATTCACAGCGAAAGCCAAAATACATATCAGAACCAACATGTTATACGTGTACAGAGTGGATCTTTTATAGGTGCTTTTTCTTGCACATAGCTACGAATAAACTCAATTTGAACATTGTATTGCATTATGTTGGTCACATAAAAACCAATAAGAACACTTGCAATTTGGTCATCACCATGTTGGGAATGTACTAGAATCAAGTTGCAGAAATTTCAAAAGATAGTTACTCACCCTCTTCTGCATGTACTCGATCTCGGCAAAAAGCATCTCATTCTGCAATAGTTAGCATTCGCAAAGTCTATTAATAAACGCATGGAAAAGAATTTTAAGTGCAAGTTCTGATGGTGATCACAGCTAATGGAGAGACATGAAATTTTACCTTCTTCGATCTAACTCGGCTGATTGATTTCTCTAATTTGTTCTCGAGATTCTTGAGATCCTTGGAGCTCAAATCACTTATACCCTCACCTAGAATATGCCTTCACACATAGAGTTTCGGTTTTATATTAATCCTCTAAGTATATAAATCAAGCAATCGTTCATTTTCAATCTAGTTCATACTCTCACCTATTTGAGATCTGGATTTCTCTTATTTGTCTCCGAAGCTTAGATGCTTCTTGCTGGTAAAACTGAAATCATCGTAATAACGGTGAGCATCTAAGAAACATGGCAAGTCAATAGGGTTTATTACTCATAAAATAACAATAATTAACACTTTTTAGCATTCGATTATATGCACGACGAACCATATAATTATAAACCTAGGCGATATCACATCCATACAAAGGTATATTGATGAATTACCGCTGATAGACACAAGCATGTAACATCATCATGCGCCATGTCTCTATAACTTTAAATAAACCAAAGTCAAATTTTGCTAACTCGGGACTCTGTTATGACCCATATCATATAACCTTTGGGATACTGAGGGCTAGAAGCTCTCGACAAAACTGTTCTAATTAGGTTACTATAGTGATCTGACATTAAGGTGCAAAAGAAGGATAAATTTTGGATGCAAAAGGCCAAAAGTGTTCTAATTAGGTTACTATAGTGATTTTACATAAAGGTGCAAAGGAAGACTATGATCCAGCTAGCTACCTTAATTCTGTCATGTTCTTATTAGGTTGAAATAAGTGAACTAGGTCAATAATACCTTAACATTCTCAGGGTTATAGGCTCAGCATACTACTTATGCTTCTAAGAGGAGAATTAGTGAGCTGTGAGTGACATTGGTAGTAGAAAGTAATGATATCGCATGCTAGATAAGATTCAACACCAATTATCTGGACAACCTACTCTTCTAGCCACTCAAACTTACCTCTTCTTTTATGAAGGTCATTATACTTATTATTTCTTCAATCAAGTAACTCAACTCTGATTTAACTTTATGTCAAAACACTCCTTTAGGTTTCCAACCAAAAACCAAATGCGTAAACAATGTGACTTCTAATGCTGTACACTCAACCTGAGTAGTCATCTGGCATTCAGTTTGCAAACTATTAGGCATTTAGTAAGCTCTTAATACTTATGGTTCTTTAATTCAATGGCTGACATGCTTCACGGTGGCAAATTAACGAAGGATATCACATTAGATCTCATGTCTGTTTCTTGATCAGTTCTTGACCGAAACAAAGCAAATACAAAGCAAATAACCCGATTGAAGGTGGAACAAATGTAGGATGACGACAACCTTATGTAATGTACTCCCAATTGCTGAACTGCATATTGCGCACCTCCTAAACTTTGCTTGATCTCACAACAACATGCTCTTGTGTGATTTTTCTTGCTTCGTGAATAATAAACGGCCTATATGTGTGTTTATAGCATGTGAGAGGATGCAGTGTACGCTAGGAGTATTTAGTATGTCCGTTCATTCGACTCAAATGTCACAGCGATGTGCTGCTAGAGTTGTCTTGATGTTCAAATGGAGCGTAATACCACACTATTACGTATATAAACACTACAGTAAAGGTATTTCAAATTATGAGGAAATCGTAATTTGACATACAAGTTACTCTATCTAACTATGCAAATCCTTAGGTTTTCAAGCTCGTGACATGTGAATCCAAATCGATCCCCGAGAGACTATACTACCTTTATACCATGCATATCTAAGTTTGGTAAATGACTCTGCGAAACTTCTTCAAAAGATTTGAACCATTTCACTGCTCATGGTTTGTCATCATTCCGAACCAGAAGCAATTGAGATTTTTTGGCAGTTGAATGGCATGGTTTAACCTCATATATGGACTGTATTTGCAATTAGCTGCAAAAAGGAGATAATGAGTTCTACCTGTGTGTTCACTTCAGAAACAGACTGTGGCTGTGAGGAATCGCTGCTTGTTTTCTTGTACCTCTCAATTGTTCCTCTGACACTGCAAAAATAACAAAAAGAAAGACTTAAAAAGCGAAAGAAAAAGGAACTATAGTTATTACATAAATTAAGAATCATAATGAATTCAACCAATGGTCGAGACATCAGCTGGCCTAAGAATTAAGCTAGCAACTTTCAGAATGATCTTATCGCCTGGGATTTATAATATCATGCTAGTAGATTAAGAAAGACAACCCTTATCAAGAGATATACAATTACAAGTATCGAAAGAAAAGGGCATAAACTCCATCAAGAAGTCTTGATGAGGTCTCGAATTTCATCAAGAATATAAGTTCTCTCTCCTTTCAGATTACTACCATACACCTGAGAGCCTATTGAAGATGTGGGATGGTCAATTGAAGCTTTCCTACTAGTAAAAGGATTATCTAGCTATAAGAAATACATTTCGGATCATCTTGAAGTTTGATTGGTTTGGATGAGTTCCTCTCAAATCATGCATTGATCCACACAGTCAGAGACCTCTATCTCACCATTAACTGCACCAACTGGTACTACCATCATGAATGACCATCGCCGCCATAATTAACCCCGCCACCAACTCCATCACCTTTTGCTAACTATCAATCACCACTGCCGCCACTTTTGAGTATACCGAACGATAGAATGAGATTTCCGGAATTTGGTTTCATAGAAATACGATTCCTTCTAGAATTCCATTCTGATTTGGCAAAAATATAAGTAGTTCTAGCCATCTAGTTAAGTGGTTAGTGGTTCTATATGTCTATTTCAGAAGAACTAATGACTATAATATGTATTAACAGTAGAGAACATGAGTTTATTTAGCCTTGAGCAAGTATGTATCTGCAAATATATAAACTCACTACTATATAGTCTAGCAAGCTTTTCTTTTGCACATCGATTGTGCGAATGGTTTTTGTTCTTAGGGTTCCTCCTTTTTCTAGTAGATCTTACTCTAACTGCAACATTTTTAACTTTTCATGAATGACATATGTATTTGGTAATTACATGAATTTCTTCGTTGGTAAGCTGTTAGAGCGAATAATGCATCTCACTGCAGATAATCTCAATCTAAAAGACTGCCTAGGATATCAAGAACTTTGTACTTTACATATTCCATAGTTTCATTCTAAAGAAACAATGCATGCATATGAAATCTAGCCAGCTTTAGTTAGATTCATCATGATAAAGAGTTGTGAACAACCAAAGTAGGTGGATGAAAATCGTTTATTTGATAACTTTCAGCGCACTATTTGCAAATTAACAGCATAATTTCAGTGAACAAGTTACATTTTGAGAGAAGGAACATAAATTGGAACGCCATAGCCATTTAGATCATCATTTCCTTGAAGTGACCGAGTTGCTACTTTGAGTCTCACAATGCACATTAAATGTACTTAGTACGAAGGAAAACTTCTAGACACTTCCTGTTCATTGAACTATTTCTAATTCAACCCTCTCAAAAAAATTTTGGATAAAGAAATATGTACGCATCAGTACAAATTGAACATCATCTCGGCTTCGACATTATAATGAAATCGTGAGAACTTAATATATGAATGGTTGGTCTGTACATCTCTAATAAGTATAAAGGGAATGCAGAAAGAATTCAAGAAATCAAATTACAATTGTCTGAAAATTATACATATATTGGACGCTTTACACTTGTGATGTTAAAAAGCTTAAAAAAAAATAACCAGGCCTAAGTAGACTGTGCTTTTAAATCTTTTTATAAACCTTTGTTGGAAATCATATTATTCTTAATACAACATTCGTTTCTCTTAATATATGAATTTTCAATAACATTGACGGAATATTTACAATATCAAACACACTTACATTTTGTTTATCTATCATACACCAATTGAATTGGAAAACAACAGCAATCATTTAAACTTATTAATCTCATTTAGTAGGATTATACATGAGAAACCTTTTCAAATCACCGTACGCATATAATGACGACGTACTGAAAAAAAAATCTGGCGGCAAAATTTCTTTTGTCTGTTTTCACAGTACGGCGAGTGCTAATCAAACTACATTGAATTTTTTTGCCACCTTAATTTCGTCGAGCTACCGAATGATTGGCTATCCCCTGCCAAGCTGGCAGAAGATACCAGCACATGATTGGTCCAACATTCTTTTAGTCAAAACCCCACGCAAATACCACGTGTAAGAAATCCCAGCAGAAGATTATCCAAAGGTTAATAACCCTAGGAACAACACCCTTCCTCCCTCCCAGCAGAAGAAATCCCAAAAACTGGCATCGTTTTTCAAAGGCGTGTCCTTTTGGTAGAGCACCTTTTTGTGACTATACCATGAATGAAGGTTTTGAAGAAGAAAGGGTAAAGAAAGTATTATTTTCCATTGTCTGTCTACATGCTAGCTGGTCAGTGTGAGGAAAAAACCCGTTTTGTAATGCAGTGAGAAGAACTCAAAAGTTGCAGAGTCTCTCGTTGGTTCGTACAAGACCCTCTCGTCCTCTTATCTGCTCTTTCACTCTGTCAGTTTCAACTTTACCCCTCTCTCTCTCTCTCTCTCTCTCTCTCTCTCTCTCTCTCTCTCTCCCCCCGTAACTTTTTTTTGACATTGTTGATTATGTGCAAAACAGAAATGCATGACTTGTTCTCTATTTATAAACTTTTTAGACAGATAATTAACTTAAGTGACCGAATGCAGATGAAGATGAAGTCACAGATTAAATCCCAGAAAAAAAATTTCTTCTTTTCTGTTTTTTTTTCCTTTTTCATGTTACACCCAGAAAACTTTTCTTCTGAAATGCTGTCACTCTCTTTCTCTCTCTCTCTCTCTTGTGTGTATGTGTTCATAAGATTCTGAAGATCTAAACAGGGTTGCTTTTGGTTTCAGGATTTCCTTAAAGATGAAAGCTCTCTCAGTTTCTTGCAATTTGTGAAGAAATGAGAGGTGGGGTTTTTTCTAGAATAGTTCTTGTTTTCCTTGTTTACTAAATCGCCAAAACTGAGGTTACTTTCTGGTTACATCGGTCAAAATCCAAAAGTGAAGGCCTGAAAATAAGGGCCGAAGAGATCTCGAAGTGGAAGAAAGAGAATTATATAGAGCAATTATTTCTTACCCTTTGAGATGCAGAAATAAAAGAGAGAAAGAAAATGAAAATTTAGGAAAAGGAAAAGAAGCAGAGAAGCCAAGCAATGGAATCACGACACACACCCACACACTCTCTTTACCTTGTCCCTAGTGATCAACTGAAAAATCATGTCTGACGTGACAAAAGATTCGTACGTGTTGTTGTTACTTATTAGACATGATACACACAGCTGACCCACACAAAAACAAAATGCAAAACCCTAACTAATCTCAAAACTTTCCTGTCTCTTCACTTCAATTCTAACGAGAGAGAGAGAGAGAGAGAGAGAGAGAGAAGCATGAATACGAGGGGACAAAATCAGTGGCATCCAATTGGCCAAACCCTCTCAGCTTTTTAACAGGCTGATTGAAGTGAAGATCTTGGAGTAAATCTTCAGATGCGTGCCATTTGGGATATTTTGAACCCTAATTTGATTGCTTTAAGGTACTTGTTCCTGGGTTTTTCTTTTCTTTTGGAGATGACATTTCATCCTAGGAAACGTCAAGAAAATGTGAAATGGCCCTTGAATGTGTCACAGCTTTTTGAGAGAGAGAGAGAGAGAGAGAGAGAGAGAGAGAGAGAGAGAGAGAGAGAGAGAGAGAGAGAGAGAGAGAAGAGACTCATTCAAAAGAATTAGGAAATCTCGACACCAGCATATTTGTTGTTCTTAGTGCTAATACTCTCTCTCTCTCTCTCTCTCTCTCTCTCTCTCTCTCTCTCTCTCTCTCCCCGCGTCGCAGCTCATGGGAAGACAGTCATTTGAGAGAATCGGACTAAAGATGGGTCATGATCATGAAATAATAAGATCCTAATCGTTATTTTCATGAAATAATAAGTTCCTAATCGTTATTTTCATCTGAAAACAGAAGCCTTGACGACTTCGTGATTGTGTGTTCATAAATCTCAGCCTAAAAGGTGAAAATCCAAATGAGAAGAAGAGCACTGAAAACACCACAAGAAGAACACTTTTGAAGAGAGTTTATTCATGGATTGCAACAAAACCTGTTGTTGGCATATTCATAGAGCCGGCCGCGGCTCGAGAAGACAATAAGCGCAACTTCAGCGTCGCACAGCACCGATAGCTCGTAAGCCTTCTTCAACAATCCGTTCCGGCGTTTACAAAAGGTGACCTGCCTGTTCGTCGCGTTCTCGATCCGCTTGATCTCTATCTTCCCTCTCCCCCCGATTCTCTTCTGTGAAGAGGCCTCCGAAAATTCACTCGGGAACTCCATACCGCTGCAAAAAGACCTGAAAACAAACGGGCAAAGTCACTTAGATCCGTCTATTTTGGCAAGGGGGAAAGTAGCAATGTATTTGATTGAATCTAGGAAGCATTCAACAACAAGAAGAGGGGCAAACGAAGTTGAGAGAAAATCGTAACACCACCCTTGGTGTTGAAGGTGCTTAAAAAAATAATATGAAAGGAAAAGATTCAAGAAACTAACAGCTTAACTTGGTTCTCTCTTCTTTGGTGTGTTCTTGAGCCAAACATTGAGAGAGAGAGAGAGAGAGAGAGAGAGAGAGAGAGAGAGAGAGAGAGCATTCAAGAAAAAAGAAGAGGGTATAATGAAGTTGAGACAAAATCGTAACACCAACCTTGGGGATGAAGATGCTGAGGAGAAAAATACGAAAGAATGACTCAAGAAACTAACAGCTTGACTTGGGTCTCTCTTCTTAGGTGTGTTCTTGAGAGAGAGAGAGAGAGAGAGAGAGAGAGAGAGAGAGGTTGCACAAAATGTAAGCAGGTAGGTTACAGCAGATGGATATTTATGGGCAGAGAAAATGGACCCTTAAACTATAGTCAAAACAGCTTTGCACTGTCTGTATACACCATACTAATTTCTTTTTAATTTTCCCTCCATCTGAACTAGTGTTTTGTGGGAAAAATCTTTTTTGGGGGTGAATTAGGGCATTGGCATTAGGGGAAAAAGGGCCTCCTTCTTTTTTACTTTTGACATTTCAGATTCCATCATTAGCAGTCCATTTCTTCGTGTATAGGGAAAAGGGTATGGGAGATCATTAAAGAGATCTTTGAAAAAAGTGACCCTTAATGGTGTTGATGAGTGAGGCCATTGGGCCTTGCCCATGTTTCTTCCTTCCACCTTCGATAGTGTTGGAATGGAGAAAGAAAAAAAAAAGGGGATTTAGTAAAGTTAAGAGCAGAGCTATGCTGAGAATAGTACAATTGGTGTATAAAATTGGTATTCTGAGTGATTTAGTATACTGCAAGTGAGCATTTGAAGTTTGAATAGTTGTGTCATATTTATCCTCCACTAACAGTTTAACATCACTTAGTATACCGATTTTTATAAACGACTTTAGTGTACATAGCATTTCTCATATTATTATTCGGGAATCTGATATACAGATATGTCTTTTATGATATATTTAGCCAGTAATTCACCACCGGATTAAATCTCTCTATCTCCCTTGCATACATAGCTATAGTGTTTTACTACAAAACGACATATGCATATACAAATTTTGTTAATGATATCATGATAAAAACCAATGGAAATACGTCAAAATTATGCGTCAGAATGCATACATTTTATTCACGACCCTTTATGATCTCTTTCCTTTTTTATGATAAGGAAGCTTATGTTTGGTGGTTAAACTATGGGAGAATAAAACAACCTACTAAATTCGTGAATTAAGTGACACATGAATCAAAACCTAAGCGAGTGATCTTGATATATGATTTTTCTAAACTTAGTGGGTGCGACGGACCGAATCCATATATCGCATCTGTACACCTAATTCGCTTTCATTCCTTAGTCAATAAACTACGATCTCAATACTCTGAAGTCCCATGCAATTGATTTAACGGAACGACTCCACGCGATAACCACTAGGGCATTTCTGTTGCGAATTCAATGAGGAATGTGACGTGCTTGAGGGTGACTGCCATGTGAAGTCCTGTTCACATCACATTCTCGAGTTCATTTATGGCAACAATTGGAGGAGGCCCATGACTGTATATTTCATCTTCAAGCCTGTAATGGATTGCCCTCTTTTAACTGTAGGAAATGGGTGGGATCTTCCCATCTGCTCATCGCCAAAAGTTCATCTCAAAGCTGAAGTTCTTTGTATACATGGTCAGGTCACATTTTTCAGGTAGCTACTGCTCCAATCCAAAGCAGCAAATTGTCATTCATTCTCATGTTCCTGGTCACAAGTACTCCTTAACACTGTTGTTCCAGATGAAGCATCGGGAAGTAAAGCAGCAACATTCTCTCTTGTCTAGCGCTTCCGAGGGACGGAGGAAGTGGATGACAGTGGGTGGATGGAGTTGGTAGTTACTAAAGAAAGCGGACGGAGTTAGTTTCACTTTTAATGCTTGTCTTAATGTTAGATTTAGGTTTAATTTAGATTAGATGTGAGAGCTTGATAATAATTTAGAGGGTGGACAGTATAGTGCCATGCTTTTGTGAGAGTACTATGTGATATTATCAAGCAATCATATCCCTCCATTTTGTTCATACAACAATTGTTCTATCCTATAGTTTAAAATTTAGCGACATAATTGACTTGGTGGTACAACGTCACTATGACACACAAAGTCATTCTTTCATATGGTATAGTCTCACAATGTAATGGATCGACATTGAATGGGGCATCTTAATTCATGCCACGTGTATTAGATGACGACACATGTCACTGACTTTTTAAAATTGAGTATTTACTAAGAGGAGCCTGAAACTGATGGTGATCCTACACATCGGAAAGGCTAAAAGAATAAAGTTTCCTCAGACCATCCTAAACCTTGTGGTAAATTTTTTAAGAGAAGCAAAAATTACAGATGATTTATTAAATATTGCAATTTATTTGTTGATTTGGCGGTCAATAATCAATAGGTGCCACTCCATTTATTCAATGCTCATATTGCAAAAAATAGTATTTTCTGCTATGTTGATATGAAAGTATATATCCATATGAATATTCTCTAATTGTTGTCAATAAATAGATCAATGGTGGATCTAGTCGACACACAACTCAATTATGATTTTTCTTCTCCCTTACGCTAAAGGGGTGATGACTTTGTACCGGTCGGGACACTCTCTGTCTCCACAGGTACGAGGTTTTTGTGTTCGGCCTCCTATGCTGTAAGTTGCGCGTTGAAAAGTTATATACTACTTATTTTACCAAAAAAAAAAAAGGGGGTGATGACTTTTAATGACAATTTCAGTGGCCATAGTACTTCAAAAGTGAAATGACAAATGAAGAAACTTTCCCTCGATGAGCAAAAATAATTTATGAATCACAGTCTGCACTGAATAAAGGAAAAACATGGGGGTGGAATGTCCAAAGTTTTAATAGTGTAGGTGGAAATCTGATGCAAAATTAACTATGAAACCCTAAAAAGTAAAATATACTTTTCTTTTTGTATTTTCATATGCAGATTGGTGAAGAAGATTGTGAAAGCACTGGACATGACTAGAAATGGTAATTTTCTGTAGCCTTGGAGTTGTCCCGGATGGCTATTATATTATACCTTTTGACCTTTTCACATTTGAATTCTGAATTCTGTTTATTTCTCAACATCTCCAATTCTAAGAACATTAACTTGTAAGCATTTCAAATCATTTTGAACTTTTCCCTAGCTTCTAAACTATTATGAATAAATTTTGGTTAGTCAAACTATTTTTATAAAAGTTTGAAGGCTTAGAAAATGGGTCAACAAAGTATAGTGTTTTCGACATCCCCGAATGTAAGCCAAATCCGACATGTGACGTACACATCTGTAACCACATCAATCAATTATAATGGCAACAAAAAGGAAAACTTGCAAAATATTAGGAGCAGATCTGATCATAGGTCTGGCTACCTCTGGTTCTTCCACAAATGAGCAGGCTTGGCCCTAAATTTTGCCGCTAGTGCTCTGGCTTGGGCAATTCTTTTTCCGAGGCTTGAACCTCGGCGAATATTGACCTGAATGACTATATTGGAATTTTGCACAATGGTTTAGAACTAAATTGGCAAAAAAATAAAAATTTTAAGACTTAATTGACATATGTATAGCAAGTTTATGACTGATTGGGAATACCCCCATGCTTTCCCATGGCTGAGCTTCGGTGCTTAACCAGGCCAGAAAGTTCAAGCTTTGGTAAGCATGTTCCGATACGATATTATATGAACCATTTTCTCCCAAATATTTAAGATCTTGGGTAAAACACCGACAATGCAGAGAAAACATATTATTTGACTTTCTAAGAACGAATGTTTATTTGTTTTCATAAAGTACGGAGGTTTAAATCCAAAAATCCCTAAACAGAGGACAAAAGTACCTTATCTTGTCCGCATCGCACATAGACCCCGGAGGTCCAAATGACATCAAGAGTACATGTACAAGTGCGTGCCCAATGATGTGATTGTACCATATCATATGCCATGATATGATATAGTATCAATTAAATTCTCAAGAGCGTAGTATAAAAAACTCATGGCATCAATCTTCTACTATATAAAAACTAAGGTTTTGCATTTACCATTTTTTAGGGCAAGTAATTTCTCTAGAGAAAGACAATAATTCTCTAGACAGAATTTCTCTGAGGTGCCAAGAAAAGAATTCTGGCTTTTGCCTCAGCATGCTTTATCCCACATGCTCATCATAATGTTGTGAAGATTCTTCTAGCTAGTAGCCCTAGCTAGACAACCGAGTTTCCCTAGCTAGACACCTGAGTTGGATCCACAGGCGATGACTTCTTGTATTCACCCTCTGAGAAATTATTTCATGAACTGCCATGTTCCATGCCTGCATATTTCAAGGTCCTGTGGAAACCCCCTCTTCTCTACCCCTTTGGCCATGACTCGTGGCTTGTGACTTTAATGATGGGGCCAAAGTTCTACATCAATCATCGCAAGAGGAAAATCACTTAGGAATTGTGTGTGGTGAGGACCACATTTCGACAAGTACTAGAGTACCACTCCTGATTCATGCATGAGAGAGAGCTCTAGACCCACATAAAGACTATTATTTGGGATGTGAGCTATCAAGGAGCCATGTCTCCCCCAAAAGCGTGATTGGGTCTAACCCCACTTGCTTACCCTAAGCCTTTGAACATCATCCACCCAAATTCATACATCGGCTTTGTATTTGGATAATCCATAGAAAACCTAATTGGTTGGCTACAAGACCGGTGGGGCGACCTTTGTGTTTTTTAGCGTCTCACGTGTTCGATTTTGCTCGTGTTACGGGTAAAAAAACAAAAAAGTAGCGGTAGGTTTATTGCATCACTTAATGAATATCTAAATTCAAAATCGACGAGTTTCTGTATGTCTAGCATTGTTATCATGTATTAGTTTCACGGCCAATGACGCCGCAAGCACTTGAACTTGTTTCCCGTTTTCCGATCAAATAACTTATACGGTTGAGTACCTGAACTTTTCTTTTTTTTTCGGTCGAAAGTACCTGAACTTTTCCGAAAGGGCTCAATATAGAGGTCTCTCTTCAAGCGCAAGAGGAAATTAGGGTTCCATTTATTGGGGGTTTGCACTAAATCAAAGGTGAAAGTGCTGAGGTCTTCTTCTTCATAGAACTTTCTCTCATCCTCTGCTAATGAGCTATTAGCCTATTACGCACTC